AGATAGATAGATAGATAGATAGATAGATAGATAGATAGATAGATAGACAGATAGATGTGTGTTGGCTAAATCTAATTCCATTTTGGAGGGTCTTCACATACCAATAACTTGATGAAGCAGCATATTCAGAGTTATTCTCGACGTTTATAGGATCTACAGGAACAGCCGTCTGGTAAACGTTATACCCAGCATATTAACCTGGTGATGTTAGGGTGTCAGGTCTGGGTCTAAAAGTAGCATCCATTAAAAGCTTTTGCCTTTCCAATCACACGAGGTTTGTCGCTCCCAATTTCAGGCCAAAGTTGTTTTTAATACATCCCCAAAATAAGTTTTTCACCGTCAGATTGTGAGGGTCTTTGGCCTGTTAGCATCTACACATTGAGAGTGTTGTGAAAACATTTAGGCATTCTGGGGAAATGTCAGAGGGAAAAAGGACAAGGACAGAAGCCGCCGTCGGCCCAAGCTCCGTACCCCCAGGAGAAAAACTGTTCTGGCACCATGAATATCTGCTTTAATATCTGCTGACGTCCTGTCTGTCTCCTCTCCGCAGACGTGCTACAGGTGTAAAACCAGGAGGAGGTGCACCAAGAAGTTTACAATACAGAAGTTCCCCAAGATCCTAGTGCTGCGTATCCTTTCGTCCAGAGACGATGAAATGATCAGACCTGAGCGGTGAATCTGCGACTGAGCGCTCACAGATGTCTAAACAGATGTGGAGCCAGACTGTGAACATGTTGGCTTATTTAAGCGTGTGTCCTCTGAGAGAGGAACCTCGTCGTGACAGTGTTTGATCTGCCTACACATCCTGACGCGTAGTGCTGTATACATACAGCGATACTGATGGTCACTCATGGAATTTGTTTACATTCAACTCACGTGACAACGTAAAAATGATCTATGACGAAAAAGTGCTTCGAAAGTAAACTGGCACAAACGCTTAAATGATATATTTCTCTCATCCACTGTATGACTCATAAATAGATCTGCAGTTCCTTTGAGAGGTAGTAAGTTTGTTCTTTTCTGTTCATGGGGCTTCTCAACATTAATGTTGTTAGTTGTAATGCTGTTTTTCCGCTTAAAGGCAGCTTTGACTTTTTTGGGAATAATAAAAAAATGTACAGAATAAGATCATTGCACAGAGAAGACAGCAGCTGCTCCTTGACTCTCCTGCTCCAGACCTGAAGCGCTTCTCCGAGGCCCGCAGAACCAGCAAACTGTCCACCTTCGTTAATTTCCCCATGAAGGATCTTGACCTGCGGGAGTTTGCCTCTGAAAACAGCAGTAAGTGCCGATCCCAGCATCCAAGCTAACAGAAAGTCTCTTCCCCTGCTCGGCCGTGTGCGGGTGTTATTCAGCATCTGGATTCAGAAGCTAACCCCCGTCCGTCTGTCCTCTCCCCAGCAAATGCAGTATACAGCCTGTACGCAGTGTCCAACCACTCAGGCACCACCATGGGAGGTCACTACACAGCCTACTGTCGCAATCCCAACTCGGGAGAGTGGTACACCTTCAACGACTCCAGGTGGGTGCGAACGGGAACGCGCACTGACAGTTTGGAAGAATTCAGCTCAGAAAATACGCGTGAACTTTTATACGGGTTACACGGGGGGGGGGGCCTGGTTCACGGCTCAGGAGAATCCCATCACGGGGAAGTGTTCTTATGCACAGCGCAGTGAGGGTTTAACGCTCACTTTGACGTATCCCGTTCATGTAAAACTCACAACTCTCTTAATCTTATTCCGTGGACTCGAAGCCAAACAGTATTATTGTTATTTAGTTTGTTGGGAACTTACAAACTTTGTTGCGGGTTTCTGTGCCCCTGTGGGTTGAGAGAGGGAGCTGAGGCTCTTTGACACATCCAAGTCGGCCATTTTGATTAGGTTTATATGACTAGCAGCTTTCTCAGTTGGAAACAAAACTTTACTGTCTATACGAAATCGGAAGAAAAATGATGTCCTAACCCTTACCCTAACCCTAAACCTAACCCTAACCCTAACCCTTACCCTAACCCTAACCCTAAATCTAACCCTTACCCTAAACCTAACCCTAACCCTAACCCTGACCCTAACCCTAACCATCCAGCCTTCATAATTGTGAGAAATAGATATTTTTTGGTTAAACTTGTTTGGACTTATTGTACAAACTTATTTAAAATACACAATTTTAACATAATATTATGTATAGAGTTTCATTCAGTGTTTGAAAGATTAATTTCACTACTTTTAAATTAATGTCTATATTGCCATGAGGCAATTACGATTTTTATTGCCTGGGATCTTCGTATGGGTGACGTAATAAAAATGGTCGACTACTGGTCAGAATGTGACGGTGGACAGGACCTTGTATCTGAAACTGTACTCTGTGTTTCCAGAGTAACGCCAATGTCCTCCAGCCAAGTGCGCAGCAGCGACGCCTACGTCCTGTTCTACGAGCTGACCTCTTCCTCGCGCATGTGAGCCTCTGGAAGGAAGGCGGGCAGCGAGCGGCGTCTCGGGACAAAAGGCAGACGGACGGACGAAAAAGCGAGAGCGCGGCTGGAGCCTCTTTCGGTCTTGCATTTGAACACGTTTCACTCTCACACACGAAGACGCGCCCCTCGCCCGGCGACTCTGTGGGGAAACACTACGGACGAGACAAGAACCCAACCGATGGGCTCGGCTTTCTGCGTTTCCGTCTTGCTCCCTGCATCATGTTCATGCCAGGTGGACATGAGTGTTTACTGTGTGTGTGTGTGTGCGTGTGTGTGTGTGTGTGTGCGCGCAAGGCAGAAAAAAGGGCAATAATCCCATCCGACTGAGCGACCGATCAGGCGAATCAGTCTCCATCTCAGAAGTCCCCCCCCCCCCCCATGCACTGAAAACCAAACTCATGTCCTGACTCTTCTTCTATCTCCTCGCTTGCCTCAAACCATTAAAGCCGAACCTGTTGCATTTCTCCGGAGCCGTTTTTCTTACCCAGAACTCACGTTTGTTTAGTTTTTTTTGTGTTTTGCGCTCAGCGGGGACACGGAGTCATCAGCGAAGCGCCGTGAGAATTACCCTCGGAATCCAGACGAACACGGTGACTTTTAACGGAACTGGCCCCCCCCCGGTCACGAGGAGCTTTCAGCCCACCGGCCCGCTTTGGTTTTTCACTGCACCGCAACACTCCTGTTTCTCTCTCAGTAGCTCTCTCATTCTTTTTGTTTCTCCTCCCGTGGCACTGTTAGTGTTTTAACATGTCCAGAGAGTAAACCCCTCCAACTTGAGTTTTATTTCGTGGTTTCTCCCATGTGTGGCTGCTACTGATGCATTAAAAGTGCTGTAAATGAATGAACAGACAGACAGTGCAGGTCTGAAAGAGATGAATAATATAAATAATTATGGTAACGACCGTCATTGTCGGTGTGGGGTCTTTTCATCCTCTCGTTTCATGCCATTGAACAACACAACGAATGTTTTCAAGAAAAAAAGACACTATATCTGTATACTTTTTTATCCTGATGCAATATAGAGAATGTACTATTCAATGGTGCTGAAAGTGACCCATAGCTGTTTTCAGTTGTCTTATTTACTTGGTATGTAGAGAGGAAAAAAAGTTCTTTATTTATGCTTATACAGGTCACACTTTTTAACAGTGGCAGTCAAACACACGAGGATCCGTATATATACCTATATATTTATAGATGTGTGTGTGTATATATATATATATATATAAATATATATATATATAAATACACATATAGTGTATGAATAAAAGTGAAGAACACGCTTTTATCTTGTGTGTGTCTTATTTGGTGGAATTCAGAATTGTCATGTCAAAAGCAGGTTATAGTAGAGACAGCTGTGGTTAACAACAGTTTCAGAACACAGCTCAGTTTGCAGATTGTGATAAGCGGCTCTGAAAACACACATTGGAGCTTTGAATACTTTGCGTGCTGTGAGTCAGGGAAAAGGCAAATACAGACCAGATCAGTTTACATATCTGCCCACATATTTTAGTTCCTGTTGGTGGGGCAAACAAGAGAAACGCTTTCAAAAATCAAACATGCAATAAAGTTTTCCTGCTTTGAAGCGTGTTTTGATGTATGTATGATTTTCAAAAATGGCTGGACAGTGTTTGAAATCCTGTGAATGGAGCATACAGAGAGATTTCTCCTCCTCTGGCAATGTAGTCTTATGTTCCCTGCTAACAGCTCAAAGCTCACACACTTTCCTATTTTAAAGAGATGTGTTTGTGTGAACATTTCCTCTTGAATTTCTGTGGAACTGGTCCATGTCATTTATTGAGCAGAGCCACTCCTCTGCATTGGACTTTGAAACCAACACCGAGACCTGACTCAACATAAATACTGTACACGGTATCTTAAATCCGTCCGTGGTTTTTGACAATCTCATAGGATAAGGCTTGAAAACTAAGGTGGAGAAAGAAAAGTCCCCTAAGAGAAGATCTGATAACAAATTCAAGACTGCTGACAAAACAGAAAGATATGGCTGCCATGTATGGTAAGTTAGTTTAAGCTATTTGTATAGACCGTTGTGTTTGACTGTGAATGGGACATGTGAGATTTTCGGTCAGGTCTGGAGCCGACGCAGCTGGTTTTGTTGTTACTGGGTGAGAAGAAAAGTGGGAAGAGTTCCGCTGGAAACAAAATCCTGACCAGACAAGCCTTCAAGAAGAAAACCACCCGGAGCCAAATGGAGAAAGGCACAGTCTTTGGAATAGAGGCAAATGAACAGGTTCAAAGTTTCTCTACTTCTGCTAAAAAGGAGGCTTTTTCTCACTGAATGTGTCCTGATTTCATGGACAGGTGGCGGTGATAGACACTCCGGGGTGGCTGACCCACACGAGTACTCCACACAAAGTGTCCCAGGAGCTCCTCAGAGCTCTGACTCTGTGCGGTCACTCCGGACCTCACGCCATCCTGCTGGTGCTGCCCGGCCCCTCGGCCTTCGGACAGAGCGAGTGGAGAGCCATGGAGGCTCAGCTCAGACTGCTTCAAACCCCCATCTGGCACAGGGCCATGGTCCTGTTCACCCATGGTGACAAGTTAGGTGAATCCACTGTTTCCTCATCTTACTCTTATATAGTTGTAGAATTCATTTTTCCATAAGCTTGACTGATGAAAAATCTCAGTCGATTATATCATATTATATTATATGTCCTTTAGTATTAGGAATGTTGCATGGATTCCCGCAGAATATGTTACATAGGGAAAATAAGCGATGACTTTGTCCAGTGCTGAATGTGATTAGTACAAAGAGCCATACTTTTTTTTTTTTTACTGTGATGAATTCAAATATCAATGGGTTTGTGGGATTAATTAAATACCAATTACAAGATGCTATTTTCAAACTGTCTCTGAATTATTCCTTCAAGCTCAAACAGTAAACTACCTAACTGATAGTACATATGGTATTTATTCCTCTATTATGTTATAAAAGAACAACACCGGCCAAATTCTAAATAGAAATCATGTCATGACTTTTGAATTTTAGGTTTTTAGAGCAGGGATCTCAAACTGAACTGCAGGTTTGATACGTTGTACTGCTCCTTCAAACCTGAATAAGATGAATTAGATGTCCTCCAGAGGTGCATCAGTTTGAATCAGGTGTGCTGAAGCAGGAGTGCCTGCAGGACAGCAGTCTGCCGGGCTGGAATATGGGAGTCCCTGTGATAGAAGCCAATATTTCATGAACCATTACTGTGCTTGTTTTGTCACAACTTATGATTCATTATCTAGGAAATATTCAAAATAGAAAAATGCATTTAAATATACTTACGGTAATATAAATAATCTAAACGTATGTTTTGGGAACTTGGGTAAAGTTCATCAACCCTGACTTTTTGAGAAGACAAACTGGATTTTTTTGTTAATCTTTAGAGAAATAGCATTCCAGGTTATCATAAACTCTGTCATGAATAAAAAAAAAGTGTGATTGTAATAAAAACCTTGACAGACTGTTGTAAAGAGTTATATTTGGTCATTCTGAACTATGTAATCGCTGATTATAAAAGCATAAAAAATAGTAAATAGTAAAAAATAGAATTTTAGTTTAGAGAGTTTGGATTTTCGATATCTAGAGATCAATGAATGCAGCATAGTGACAGAGATGTTCCACCCCTTTATCTTATTCTGAGGTGTTCTCTCTGTGCCGTAGGGCCTTATTCCATCCAGGAGCACATAAGGCATCAGGCCGGGACTCTTCGGTGGCTGCTGGACAGATGTGGGAACAGGTATCAGGTTCTGACCAGTCACCCCAGCGCGTCGCTGGTTCAGGTCGCAGAGCTCTTTCAAAAGATTCAGAGGATGGTGGCAGCTGTAAGGTTTCCCAGAGAGATCCAGCAGCTGAGACCAGATGTGAATCCTGGGGGGGGGCAGAGGTTGAACGCAAGTAGAGAGGATATAGAACTCCTAGCGCTCAATGGGAATCCAAGACAACGGGAACGGCTGACCTCAGAATGGCGACGTGACCCCAGAGGTAGGCTCAAACTTCAAACTTTGTCTATGAAAACTCCCCAATAATAAGAATAAATATGCCACACGTGAAAACGGCTCTATTGTGTCTTCCTGTAGGACTTGGAACAGGGCCAGGTGGCTCCCCGCCAGCTCTTAGCATCATCCTGCTGGGAAGGAGAAAATCTGGAAAGAGCTCGGTAGGGAACATGATCCTGGAGAGAGCGGAATTTAAGGTGGACTCCAAGACGAGCCAGTGCTCCGCGGGCCAGGCAGAAATATCGGGTTGGTCCGTAACGGTGGTGGACACCCCGGGCTGGAGCCTGTTTGGTATGGCCGATCCTGAGCAGGTCAGGAGGGAGATGCACCGCAGCTTCTCGCTCTGTCCGCCGGGGAGCCGGGTCAGCTTCCTGCTGGCCGTTCCCATAGACTCGTTCAGCGAGAGAGACAGGGCGGCCGTGGAGACGAACATCAGCGTGCTGTCAGAGTCCGTTTGGAGTAGAACCCTGGTGTTGTTCACCTACGGGAACGCTCTGAGAGGAGGAGCCGTCGAGAAATACATCGAGAAGAAGGGAAAGCCTCTTCGGTGGTTGCTGGACAAATGTGCTCATAGACATCATGTGTGTGATACAAACTCAGGTGGACGACCTCAAGTCCATCGGCTCTTGGAGATGCTGGAAAAAATATAGAAGCAGAGCAAACCCAGTAAACCTTGGTTCATCCAGTGTCTTGCGTATGTAATCAGTTTGTGAACTAGTTTTTTTTTTTTTGCACCATTCAGATTTTCCCATACAAAGTTTCAGCCTTTCAGTGTGAGATTGTTTTTCAAGAAGTCTATCTACTGTAAGTCTGATTCTTTTATTGGAAGCCTGAAAAAAAAACAGAAAAGTGTACGAAGTTCAAAAGTGTATTTATTCAGGTCACATGCAAAGTAAATCAGCGCTGGGCTCTTAATTGAACAAAGATCTCCACCAAAAAAAGAGCCAAGAGTAGCCGGTGGAATGGAAGGCTGGACGCAACCCGGTCTCACTGGCCAGAACCCCCTGACATGGTCAGGCCAGCTCCAAATCCAGGCAGGTTCCACTGAGATGTGATGAGAAATGTCTGTGCTTGAGTGTTGTCCTTGAAAACCTGTATCAAATGTCTCATTGGAAAAAGAAAGAAATCAGGAAGTACAACTATAGAAATAACATGATTTCTGTGCCTGAGTATACCGAACAAAAGCATTAGTAAATTATATGAAATCCAGTATTAAATCTAGTATTAAAGTAAAAGAAACCCTCTAAAGTTAGTAAATATAAGTCCATCTTATCTATCTATCTATCTATCTATCTATCTATCTATCTATCTATCTATCTATCTATCTATCTATCTATCTATCTATCTATCTATACTGAAACACATAAGATAATCATAAATGTAAATAAATATAAATGTAAATAATAAATGTAAAACACTAACTATTACTATTAAAATCCCTTTCGTAAAAAGAATAAAAGTATTTATTCAAATTATTGATTTATTGGGTGAGCATGACCATCATCAAGGTAATCGTTTCTTCTGACTTCCGCTGCGCTGGAACCCGGATGTAGGTTGACAGAAAGCCCAGGGCACCAGCTAGCTAGGCTAATGGTGGCACCTCCGGGGCTTCCTCCCTGACTCTGTGGCCACACCAGCCTCTGCAGAGGGACGGCGGTGGGAAAAGAAGCGGAGGAATGGCCGGCAGCATGGCCCAGCCCCTGTTATGCGGGGCCGTGCTGTTCCCGGGGCTCTTCTACGGCCTGAGAAGAGCCCTTAGCCGCGGCTTCAGCCGGTGGAGCGAGGCAGATGTGGTGTGCGTCAGTGAGAGGTCAGCGCGCGCGCGAGCCGCTCCCGCCTCCGCCTCGTGCTGTGAACACCTGGTCACGTCGTTTAGTTGAAAGGATAAAATCTTGGGAAAGCAGTTAGAAAACGTAATGTAGTCTTTATTAGCATTTGTTGTGGTTTGGGGTGTCGTTACGCCGGCGGCTGCTGTGCGCGCGACGGCACCGCGTGCCCCCCTCTACTTCCGCCCCCAGTCTGAGTTAGGCTCTGTTTGTCCAGGCTGGTCTCTGCCCTCCACGCATCTTTGGCCACAGCTGCCGGGTTCCGGGTCGTGTCCTCATGCAGTGACGTCATGAACGACAGGTGTGTGTGATATTGTTTGTGTGTGTGTGTGTGTGTGGACCTGCTTCTGAGTGAGGCTTCTTGTCTTTGTTCCTGGTCAAACGCTCGCCGTCTGTGTGCCACAGCCACTGGCTGGTCAACGCCTTCGTCCTGTTCGGGGCTCCCTACATGGCCTTCGACGTCTGGGCCATGTACCTGAGCCACCACCACGCCCAGAGAGCCAGGGGGGGTCCCACCAGCCACGGCCTCCGGTCGCTGGGGGCTTTCCTCAGCCGGGAGTGGATGCTGGTGCTCCACCACGCGGCCCTGCTCTTCGTTTTCATGCCCATCACGTTGGTGAGGACGGGCCGAGGGTTTCAACGGTCCGAGCGGATCAGGTCCAACACAGATGAGCCTCTCAGTGGGCTGTGGCTTCAGTCTGTGGGTGGACGTGTCACTTTAGAAGCCGTGGAGCCGGACGGTTTTATTCAGACAGCACCACGTGACCACGTGTCACCCATCGGCTTTACAAAGACACGGTCTTATCAAATGTACCAATTGTTATTGAATGAATCCTGAAATGAACCTTAGTCCAGTTTATTCAGAGGCAAGCCAACAGATAGGATCCCTTTTCACAGGGAGAAACCTCCATCAGAGCCAGAACCGTGAAGGGCAGCCCTCTTTTTGGACCGGCAGGATAGAGACAAACACCATGATACCAGGCCAGGTGCATCATGGGACAGCAGTCTGGGCCTATAGAGGGAAGAGAGGTGCATGATGGGAGCCCCCCCCCAGCAGTCTGGGCCTATAGAGGGAGGAGAGGTGCATCATGGGATTAAATGTACCAATTGTTATCAAATGAATCCTGAAATGAACCTTAGTCCAGTTTATTCAGAGGCAAACCAACAAATAGAATCCCTTTTCACAGGGAGAGACCTCCACCAGAGCCAGAATCATGAAGGGGAGCCCCTATTTTTCGACTGGCAGGATAGAAACAAACACCATGATACCAGGCCAAGTGCATCATGGGACAGCAGTCTGGGCCTATAGAGGGAGGAGAGGTGCATGATGGGAGCCCCCCAGTGGAACTATAGGATGCTTCAGGGTCCCTGAGCATCTGTAACTATTAACTTTATCAGAAAGGAAAGTCTCATCTTAAAGGTAAAGGGGGGTCTGCTTCCTGAACCCAGACTGGTTCCACAGAGCCTCCCGTTCTGCTTTAAAAACTCAGGAACCAGAACCTACAGCCTGGCAGCACAGAGCTCTTCTCTATGGAAGCCTGTACCTGTGAGCTGTGATAGCCAGTACTTAAAGATTGAAATATTATTGATTAAGAGAAAACCTCCTTACATAGTCTGGTTAGGAATGGGTCTGATGCTTCAGAAAAAACTGATGTGTTACTTCAAACCTCTGGACAGCAGAAGGCGGCCCCCGGTTTTTCCAGGAGTTTGGTGAGGGCTGCCAGCTGAACAGTGTGAATGGTGTTTTGCAGTTCTTCAGGAGAGGCCTGGGGGACTTCTTCATCGGCTGCCTCTTCATCACAGAGTTCAGTACTCCCTTCGTCTCCATAGGGAAGATTCTGATTCAGGTAGTTCTTTCCTCAGAGAGCCAGCGAAACCTTTTCACGGCAACGGCTGCTGTCCTGCAGGTTGTTCTACGTTTCCCCCGCTTTCACACCCGGGTTCTAAAATCTGGGGGCCATCACTCGGCCAATCCATGTTTCGGGCAGTTTAGAGCGGGCGGTAGTCAGCGGCCATCGTGTGGTTTCTTTCCTTATATTTTAATCCGTACTGAATATGTCGAACAAAAAAAAAAAAGAAAGTGGTCGGACGAATACATTCAAGGATTCAGGTGTATCACGGAACGGGAGTCGGCGTCCTGTCTGTTTGATATGCAATGTCAAGTTGAGAAACTCTAGTCTCGCACCGGCAAAACTAAAGGAAACCTTCTTATTCTGGGCCCAAACAAGTATTTTGTGGATTAAAAACGACAAAAAACTAATTCAATTAAAAAACAATTTAATGTGAAAATGTTAAATTAGTTTTTTTTTTTAAAACACATTTATTTTTTATTAGTAAAATAATAAAAGAATATTTTTCAGGGCTGAAATTCTTTCATTGGGCCAAATATTTTTTTGGGGGCCAGAATAAAGTAATACCGTAATTTGTTGTGAGTTTATGCACTGTGTTGGTTTTCTTCTTTGAACAAGGTGATGTTCCTTTTGTGAACCAGTTAAAAAAAAAAAAAAAACATACCTATGTTTTGAATTTGGAAAAAAAAAAATCCTATTTTCACTACATCACTAAAGAAGGGTTCAGTGAATGCGCATATGAAACCGGTGGGTTCAGTACCTCAAAAAGGTTAAAAACCAACGATTTAAAACTTGCAGGACAGCAGCTCTGTACGCTTCGGACCATGCTGTGTCACAGTGTCAACGGGTCAGAGAGCTGAGAGTTTCTCCCCCCCCACCCGGTGTCCCCTGATCCGCAGCTGCAGCTGGACCACACCCTGCTGCACAGGGTCAACGGCGTCCTGGTGCTCCTGACCTTCTTCACCTGTCGCATCCTGCTCTTCCCATTCATGTACTGGATGTACGGCCGGCAGTTCGGGATCCCCGCCCACCGGGTGGCCTTCCACCTGCCCCTCCACTGCAACCTGGGGAACCTGCTGATCCTGGCCCCGCAGCTCTACTGGTTCGTCCTGCTGCTGAGGAAGGCCAACAGACTCTACCTGAGACGGAGAGGGCAGGCGGGAGTCGGACCAAAAAGCCCCCCCACTTCCCCGAACCATAAGAGCCAATGAAGCATTTTTGTCAAGGTTAGTGAGGAAAATGAGATCAAGCCAATGCCTTTATTGTCGAAATAAAGTTTGATTTTCCAATGAACTTTCACAAAGTTGTGTGTTTCAGTTGTTCCTGGAGAATCAGTAAATACTCACTGATCCTGTTTTTCATAACATAACAAAACGCTTTTTATTTCAAATATTAACAATACTCACATTAATAAAAAAAATAATCTAACATTCACTTTATTTTTGTTCCTCTGTGAACATAAAGTCATTTAGTAGTTTTGTTTCTGAATAATGGCGTTTCCAGTGCGACTGCTGGGCCCACCCCCAGCACGTGGCTGGGGGGGGGGGGGTGCGGAGGAATCGGACTGCCTGTAACCTGCTTTACCAGCCAGTGACTGGAATCGTAATCACTTGGAGTGGTCAGTCTTTGGTGGAAACACCGGGGGTGAGCGCGTGCTCAGGCTGCCGAGGACACCAGCTGAGCGATCTTCTGCTGCAGCGCCGCCTTCATCTTTTGGTCGCTCAGGTTGTCTGTGATGGTGGAGAAGAAGTGGCGGGTGTTGTCGCTCTCCAGGTGGCTGCAGCTGTCCGGGAAGGCGGCCATGACGGCCTCGTAGTGGCTGAGGATCTCCAGGCTGCACAGGAAGAGGGGCTCGCATTGGCCTCCCGGCATCATCACCTGGAAGGGCCGAGGTTAAAAGCACACTTAAATCCTAATCCAGTCCGTTCAGACGTGATAAACTCATCTCAACCAGATTCAGAAAGCAGGCCCACTCCACCCGAACGGCTGGTCTTACCTGGACGTGCTGGACGTGGCAGAAGAGCTGACTGAGGACAAAGAGAACTTCCTGGCCGGGAGCTGCCTCCATCTCCTCCAAACGCGACTCTTGGGATTTCTCGGGTGAGTTCCCCGCATCTTCCAGAGGGGGTTTGGGAATTCTAGGAGCCGCGGTGGGATCGGGGTTGTGCTTTCTGGACCCCGGAGCCGGGAGGGGCAGCTTGGCCTTCACGGAGCCGACCAGCTCCCGGGCGGCGTGGGCGTACAGCCGGCCGGCGTGGGCCCAGCCCTCGGCCGACAGCCAATGGGAGCAGCTGGAGCCGCACAGCAGCTGGAAGACCCGCAGCAGCAGCACCGACAGCCGGAGCTCGCAGGAGAACCCCCGCAGGTCCAGCAGGGGCAGGAAGTCCACGTACTCCAGGGAGAAGGGGACGTCCAGGCGGCCGGAGGCGATCAGCTCCCTGAGGGCCCGCAGGAGCCGGGCCCACTGGGACACGCAGCACCAGGGCAGGCTCTGGGTCAGCGCCACCAGCGCCCCCTTGCTGAACATGCCCACGTGGTGCGTGTTGCGCTGGTCCAGCGAGAGGCCGGACAGCATGGTGGACTGCAGGGGGTCGGACAGAGCGCAGCACTCCATCCAGGCCAGGAGGCCCGTGCCCTGGCCGTACTGAGGCAGCTCCACGCACGACCACTCCTACAGCGGGGGGGGGCACGGCGGGGGGGGGCAAACCAAGACAACAAGGCACAGAGGCGGAAACTAGTGAAGCGCGTATGGAGGCTATGACGTATGTGGTGACGTTTGAGGCCTCGCGAGCTGGCCGTACCACGTGACTGACTCAAGAAGTGGTTTGCGGTTTGGCAGTCTATTTGAAATATAATGGCCAGCAAAATGCAATGGATCCCCACCATCACACTTTGTGAACTTGGGTCTAAATTACGAGTTTGTTAGCGATATATTCAAGCTTCCCTCAAAGACAGACACCATACAAAAGTTAATACTTTACATATAAGCATCACAAACATCCATCCCTCCATTATGGTAACCGCTTATTCCCTAATGGGGTTGCGGGGGGACCTGAGCCTATCCCAGTAGCCAATGGGGAGAGGCGGGGTACACCCTGGATGGCGACATCACAAACATCATTGATTAATTTATTCAATGCTTCAGACTCCAAAGATAGAGTCTCATTATAATCACACTGTACGGTTTACATTTCTTGTCCACTTGATGGCACAATAGAGCAAATGAAGCACCATGAAGCTTCCACACCACTGAACCAATTAGATGGAACGCTTGAATGCTTGGTTTAAAGTTATTTAGCCTACTTACTTAGTTGTCAGACTCATGTTGAACAGGAATTTACTCTTATAACAACTTAATGGTTAGGATCCAAATATCGGATCAGGACAAGCCTAAATGTGAGTTGTCAGATTGCATAAAAGCATTGGGTCGTGTAGTGTGAGAAAATAAATCGTGAGCTGGCAAATTTGAACCCCAACGATTTGGTGGTGCAGTTTGAGCTGGAGCTACGTGCAACGATTGAAAATATCACACAGTGTACGCCCGGCTTTACTCTCTAAAGCCAAGGCCGATTTACCGGGTGAAAAAACTACTGGTCACGATTGATGTGGTCAATATGCGCTGTAGCCCCTCTGCTTAACATGGGGGGGTGTTGGCTAGCGCCAGCATGGGAGGACGTTAGCGCGGCCGGGGGCCTACCTGCTCGGGGAGCTCGCACACCGTCAGCAGGGACGCCGGCGCCTCGTTCTTGAAGTGCTGCCCCCACACCGGCTTTAGGTGGAAACGCGCCGTCCAGTCCAACGGCTCGGCCTTACTGTAGAGCCAGGACAGAGGCCTGGACCAGGTGCCGGGGGCCGCCGACACCTCCGCGCCCACCAGCCCCCCCAGCGCGCCCAGAACCGAAACCAGGAGCTCCTTGGTGTCCATGGAGCGCAGGAGGATGGTGCCGTCAGGTTTCTGCTGCCAATATCTGGCAGAGACGAGGGGGGTGGGTTGCCGGTCAAGGTTAGTTACCCGTGTGTGCGCTGTCTAAGGGTCGTTACCAAAGCGGGAGGTACGTGGAAAATGCTACACACCTCAGGGTCTGGTCGTAGAGCTGAGCCAGGACGAAGAGGAGGGGGAAGGGAGAGCAGTCCATCACCCAGTGAGGGGAAAGCGCCGGTGTCTGGACGTCCACGGACAGAGCGGCGTGAAGAAGCTGCAGGCTCAGCTCCAGATCAGAGCTGTGGGAACCTGGAGAAAAGGCGATTGGTGAGTGAGCGCCAGTAGGCCGGCCGGGAGCTGGGCCGAGACCCACCGCTCAACAACCGAGACGCCAAATTAGAAAAGTCTTTTGGTTTTCCACACCGCCCCCACGCCCATTCCAATGTCCCCTGCTCTAAACCAGCTGGAAGACAGCTGCAGAATGCTGCTGCTAGAGTTCTGACCAGAACCAGGAAATACGACCATATCAGTCCAGTGCTAAGGTCTCTCCACTGGCTTCCTGTCACTCAGAGAATAGACTTTAAAACAGCTCTACTTGTGTACAAGTCTCCTCATGGGCAAGCACTGATATGTTAGAGCCATATGAACCAGATCGGACTTTGAAAACCTCAGGTTCTGGTCTCCTGATGGCGCCCGGAATCAGAACTAAACAAGGTGAAGCTTCATTTCAGTTCCATGTTCCTAAAATCTGGAACAGGCTTCCTGAAGATGTGAGACAGTGTTTAAATCCAGGCTGAAAACGCTTCTGTTTAACTGTGCATATGGAAAATTGAATGTATTTTATCTGCACCCTTCACTTTTCATCTGTCCAATTCTTATTATTTTTCTTGTCATGTTTTTCTGCTTTTAATATGTCTGTGGAGCACTTTGAATTGTCTCATACACGAAATGTGCTTTACAAATAAGCTTCCCTAAATTCCTGCTCTTGCCCGTTCGGGTCTGCTCAGCTGAGCTGTGATCGGTGTCTGCATCCCTACAGCTTACGCAATAGTTTAAATAAAATTTCCAAAAATAAAAAGGATTCGTGACAGTGTGCAGGGGGACACTCACCGACGTCGGAGAGATTGGGCAGAACAAAGGTGTCCACCACCTCCCGAGGCGTGAGACAGCTCTGTTGCTCCTCCTCTCCCTCTTTCATCGGATGGGGGGTCATCAGCAGACCCAGGAAGCGGAGGAACTGGTCTCTGTCGCCGGCCGACAGGGATTTGGCCCCGACTGTGTCCCGTAGGCACCTGCAGAGCAGGCTGCCCCCCTCCTCCGTCTCATCCTCGGGGGGCCGGAGTCCAGGCAGCTGCTGGAGGATCTTTGCGATCAGGGAGAACCCCCCCTTGTTGAAGACGGCGGAGTGGCAGCAGTGCCTCAGGGTCGCCTCCGGGTTCTGGAAGGCCATTCTGGCCACTAGAGTGACCGCCGTGCTCAGGTTGCCCTGCGACGGTGAGTCCGATGCCGCCCCTCCTCGGATGATGCAGTTGAAGGCCATGTTGAGCTCCTGTTCGAATCCCACGGCCGCCGCGGCGGGGGCGGGCTCCCCGAAGAACCCCCGGCTGGACAGCCTCAGCATGGCGGTCAGCGCTTCGTTCATGTCTCCCGACGGGAGCGCCGAGAAGATGTCGGCCAGGGCCTTCATCAGCTTCCTGCAGCGGCTGAGGTCGCAGCCCTCCGTGTGCAGCCGGTCCACCAGCGAGGAGGCCAGGCCCATGAGGGGGCCGCGGCGCCGGAAGGGGGCCGGGTTCTTCTCCAGGCAGTCCAGCCAGGCCCGGTCAAAATGCGCCCAGGACGCCTCGCTGGCGAACAGCGCGGCGAAGTCCTCCTGGTCGTCCAGGCGGTGGGCGATGACGGTGCTGACCACCTGCAGCTGGGTCTCCGGGCTGACCTCCGGGGAGGGGGCGGCCAGGGACTTCAGTAGGTCCCAGAGGGGGTCCCCCTCCCGGTCATCGTCCAGAGCCGCCAGGACCCTCCGGGCGCTCTGCCGAAGCCGCGGGGCGGCCGGCGCCGGGCCGCCTTCGGCCCCCAGGAGGCCTTTATCCCGCCAGGCCCGCGCAAGTTCCGAAACCGTTTCCAGGGCCTGGCCCCGCGTTACGGCCTCGGGTTTGAACCGCGACGGGGAGCTGGACGCGCGGAGGTCTCTCTGAAGCTTTCGGATAAGGTCGGGGCTTATCACGTCGTCCTCTCCGATGAGTTCGCACAGGCCGCGCAGCCTCTCTTCGGCCGGAACTACAACTTCCTTGTTGATTAGGAAAGACGTGTAACACGCATCGAGGGAAACGGAGAGGGCCCGGGAGCAGAGGTCTGCCGAGGAAAAGCGAGACGCCGCGGCGTGAAGCGCGCAAAGGAGACGGCGGAGAACGTCGGGATTTTCCGGCGACGCCGCCGAATCCGCCGCGTCCAGTTTTAACCTCTTAGAGGCCCGAGCGGGAAAACCGGACGGTTTGGAGGCGAGGCGATTAAACTGCTTGGCAAACAGCATCTCCATGCTTTCTTTTTCTTCTTCTTCTTCTTTCCCGTCGTGCTCGTGTTGGCCTTTCCACAGCTCCCACCACACTTCCAGGAAGAAACGCAGGTCATCCTCCCCTGTGGGATCGCACATCATGTGTCCGGTCAACCTGTCCAGTTCGGCACAGATCTGAGGCACGGGTAGCTTTAAGAGGCAGCTGGCAAAAATCTGCGCCGCGCCCGTGGACTTCATCAGCTCCATCAGCACGACGGTGTTGACCTCCGGGAGGCTGTTGGTCAGGCAGAAGAAAGGATTCTCCCTCCAGGCCTCTTCGACGTCCTCCTCGACCTCGGTGCCCAACAGCTTCAACCACACGGTACAAACAATCTTCTTCCTCCAAGTCGAAGCCTCCGGGTTGGCCTGGAGGCCCGTGTCCTCCTGCCCACAGATTTCTCGGACGGCCTGCAGGACTGGACGTCCCACCTGGCTCCAGTCAGCTTTCTGTATGGAGGACAGGGACGAGGGGTGGCACGACTTATCTGCCTGGAGGAAAGCGCCTTGAAGAACTGCTGCGTCTGAAAGAACGAGAGAGAAGGGGTTGAAAACAGACTTGGAACAGCATATTTCTTTATTTAAAAATTTTTCTGACCAGCAGATATGGCAGCTCTTTATCTTTACTCATTACACAACTAAATGACTTGAGCACAGAAAATGCTGTGAAATTCAAATTTGAACAAAAGTTAGTTTCTGAACATACCCATACACACACACACACATATATATATTTACACACAGGTGTACAGAAGAACCCACAAACTCACAACTCACACACTCACGTCTCACGCGGGTTTTCTCGAAGTTCACAGTAACCTGAGAACCATGAAAACGTTTACGTGTCCCGTTACCTTTGTTCAAAACCAGCGCCATGGTTGCTTAAACTCCGCTAAGCTAAATAATTTGCTACAATAAGTCCGGTCTGCTTCGTAAACTACTCCCGCGTGTCTGTTCCAAACTGGACGGGACAACATCAGTCCCTGGGCCGCCTGTCAACAACGGCTCTTCCGGGTCAACAACACTCCGCCGTGGCCGCAGCGGCTCACAGCGCCGCCGCAGGACGGACTCGGTACTGCAGCCGTGATGACGTCACGCAGAGATTTTGCGCGTGTTGAGGGGGTCAGCAGTCCTAAACGGTCATCGCCTTCCCGATCTAATGTGCCGTGTGGCAGAATACGGACACGCGCGACGCATTCCATAACGTGAATGACCACTCAATGATATATTCGCGTTGTTTTATGAAACGCCACCACTGGTCACGTGATCCCTTCGCCAGGCAAATCAAGTTTTTCTTTTAGAAAATTGAAAGTGAAAGCATTTTTGACCAACTGTGTCTTGCATGCAGGACGAACGTTCATAGTCGAAGTCGCCAACTTTCACGATGGGTCTTCTGTTAAAGATTCTTATTTACTGTTATCTCTGCACCGGCAAGTTGTTCTTTGGATTATTCCTTGTTGTGGCTATTATAAAGTTTCTAACAGCTAAACACTTTTTCAAATGAATGACAGGACTTTTGTGCAATGGCAATTAGATTTTTTTTGTTGTACATCTTGTTGTGGGATTTGTATTTCTAAGTTGTGTTGACCTACTTGGATTGTCTGTTTCTCAGGTGTACAGAGTGTCCAGCAGATTCAGTGGCTTCCCTGTCAGTTCACCGATGAACATGTTTCCATCAATCACCTGGGACACACTGAAACCCAGCTCATTCCCAGAGAGGCCATGCTGCAGTTTGGTCAAAAAGGAGACGCCCCCGTTAATCCCCAGGCTATCACTTTCCTGCTCACCGGTCAGTCTCCGGCCGTTTTGGTCTCTTCACCCTGAAAGGTGAAGAGTTCATTTTTATTTTTTATTTTTTTTAGCATCCAAGCTGGACCTGCGGCGGCATGTGGACGGGGTGGAACCAGAAGAGCTGGAGTGCGTGCTGCGCAGATACAGTACCGAGGGCATCTACGTCCGATGGCCGGTCCAAGGAGCCCAAGGGTACAACCACTGGTTCACCTGCACCCTCAAACACAGCGAGGGTCACTTCACCGTCACGAGCTTTCTCAGGCTTCCGTCGGACGGCCCTCCACCAGAAAAGCAGGACTACCACAAATGGCCTCCAATCGCTGACAGAGAAACAATTACTACATCAGGTAACTATTTTTTCATACCAGGACTCTGAAATCTAACCAAGAAGACGCGATGGCAGCTGGTCAAGTTGTGGAGTTCCGTAAAAGATAAGCATGGCCTCTCTGTAAAGCAAGTTTGTTTAAGTTTATGCATTTAGCACACGCTTTTATCCAAAGCGACTTACAAAGTAGACACAATGTTACAGACACTAAGTTCACTAGAGGAAAATCCCTACTCAGAATGAGTGGTGACACCAAAGAGAGAGAGATGGAAGTTCAAAAAGAGTAGTATAGGGGGTACAGAGGTATGGGTAAGAGTTGGGATAGCTCGTCTTCACGTTTCTCTGTGTGCTTCGTCTGTTTCCCTAGTTGCCATGGTTATCAAAACTCACTCTCCATCGCTGAAAACCAGACTCAGTTCTCAGCAAAAGCTTCACTGCCAATTTGACATTGACCACCGAGGACCAGACTACACGGTGGAGTGGCACCGGCAGCGGCGGGGAGAGAGGACCACGCTCTTCAGCCATATTGCCCGCTCAGGCCAGACCAAGGGGACCGGCGTGGTCCAGAAGGCTCTCGCAGGAGGGGATGCATCTTACACCCTCCCCTTCGTCAAGATGGCCAGCGAAGGAACCTACATATGCTCTGTGTCTGTGACTCCGCTGTCCGGGAGTGTGGACGTTAATCTGCAGATTGAAGGTGAGGAAAAGTTTAGAGTTTTTGTGTGTTGGATGTAAATTAAGGCAAATTTCCAGTTAAATCTCATTTGATTTTAGTCAAGAAAAAGCAACAATGATCCATTAAGGTCCTTTGCCCAGTGGCTGTAATCATTGTTGTGATTACATACAGCTAAAAGTGTGTATTGCTCTTATTCCCTCTCTCCTCAGAACCCCCCCGCGTGTCCCTTAACGTGGAACCCACTCTCTCCCTGCAGGAGGGTGGGGAGCAGAAGATTGTGTGTGAGGCGGAGAACTACTATCCTCTGGATGTGGAGATAGTCGTGCATGAGCAGGACCCGGCGGCGTCCGGTCAGCGGGTGGGCGCCCCCCTTCCCAAAGCGCTGACGAATGTCCTGCTGTCCAGCCACAGGCACAACCAGGACCAGACCTACTCCGTGTCGGCTTTTTTCTACATCCAGGCCTCGCTCCAGATGTCGGGACGGCAGTTTACCTGCACCGTCTCTCACAAGTCTCTGAGAGTGCCGGTTCGAAAGAGCTTCATCCTGAACGTTGAAGGTAGGCCTAACCTCTTATGGTCAGTGGTCAAATCGTCTTTTTTTTTTCTGTAAAGGTCATAATAACATCAGTTCATACACCTTAAAGTCAGTGTAACTGTATCCTCTCTTATGTTTTAATAAAATCCTGTCGCATTCTAGTTTTGACCAGATTATGTTTTCCAACAAGCTCAATAATGGCAGTAGAGCAAAAGATGATAGGTCATTTTTTCCATTTGACCACACTCCTGGTCGCAGGAGTTAATATCTGTTGTGTGTTTTCGCCACGCAGAGAGGGTCAGCTGGATGTTTTACCTCACTGTCGGCTTCATTGTGCTCTTACTGTTGGTCATCCTGGCTGTGATGATACCCCAACTGCCCCTAGGTGAGTGAGGAAGCCCTTCGACCAACGAGCCTGGGAGTTCAATTTGGAGACAAATAAAACAAAGATCCGGACCAATCGTATACAATATCACTGAGAAATACTTGCATAAATGCTGTTTCCATTCTATTAAATTATTAAGTGTTGATTTGCAAAATATTAACCGTCATTTATTTTCTCCACAGTAGGAAAGAAGACAGTACAGGTAAATCAATAGGGGGAGAATGGTTTTATTTAATCTGAAACGCCATTGAAAATGATTTAACTAAGCGTCTGTGTGTTTGTGTGTCTGTCCAAAACAGAAGAAGCCATACTGAGCAGCAGTTCTGGTGTAAGTGGAACACTGAAGTCGTCCCTCATCCTTTTGTTTTTCTTCAAAAAATGCTGCACGTTTGATTTTTTTTGCCTGTTGGTTAGTTGTGATTTCTGTTAGATTTGTTTATTTTATGTTCAATTTAATTTAAAACTGAATGTCTGAACTTCTTGCAAAAGAACTGTTCATTTCTGAGAGAAATGAAGAGCAATGGCAGCATAAACCTGTGGTGGTTTGACTGTAAGTGGACTTTCAGTGGGATACTTTCATGCATACTCATGTGCCTGCACAGGGAAACTGGCACATGTTCTCTACCAGCAGGTGGAAGTGTTGACCACAGATTTAGCTTAAACGAGTGGGAAGTAGAAGTAATTAGCTGACAAATTGTTGTCTTACATTGTCAATTATGATTGCAATTAAAGTTATGAATAGGCTTTATATGCAATTCAACATTTGTCTGAGACCTCAGATACAAATTGTTCCCTAAATGCTGGCAGTCTGGAGCTTTTTTCGTTTACATGATTTTTGTGTGTGTGTGAACAACAAGCAGTTCTGGTGATGGAATATGAAAAAATTGATTAAATGTCCTCGAATGTTTTGTTGCCCTTTTGTCTCTCTGTATATGAAAAGCTTTATGTTTCTCCTGGTGTTCAGAAAGCAAGTAAGATGTATCTATAAAGCACTTCACAATGATTAAAAAAAGACCATATGACCCTAGAACTTAGTAAGAAGAAGGGTTTTAGTAGTACAGGTGTAGAAGGAAATTCAAAAGAAATGCTAAAATGTACTCGTAATCATTCAAGAGAGGTTTCCGTTGTCCACCAGATGTCACCATTACTGAAGTCTAGAAGCTTTGAACCTTTTTCAGAACAGTTAGGAGAGCTCAGAGCTTCATGAGGCTTCAACTGCCCACCACAAAGAAACAGGTACATTTCAAAGAACCAACGTCTTCTAGGTATGAGACCTGAGGAGGTGTGACCTCCCGCATAGGTCTATCATCAGGCCTCGGAATGACCCTCCAGGCCTGATGAGAAATAGCCTGCAGCTGTGCAGGCACCAACGAAGATCCTGAAGAAAGCAGGATGCCTCACACACACACACACATACACCAAACACACTCACAGCAGAACCCACAGAAACTGGACCTCAGGACCATCAGGACCCAGATCCAGACCCGGACCCAGACCCAGACCCAGGTCTGTGCACAGTTACCTGAGACAAGGGTAACTTTCCAATGTTCATCTAATGGGATAAGACATCATTTTTTAAATTTAGTACATCTAATCCACTGCAATATTTAGTCCTCTGTGTTTTTTTGTAAAAAAATGTTTGTTTTTGCATCAAAAATAGAAATGCAAGAATCTACTAAAACACACCAGATAGAGCAGGTTCTTGTGGTGATATCTGGAAACAGCTAGTTTACCATGAGAAGGACCATAATTTTCATGTTAGCTGCTCTCCCCATGTATTCCACCGTATAAGATCATCTGGAATTGAAGCTGAATGTAGCTTAGCTTTGTTAGCTCCAAAAACCTGGAGATGTTTTTTCCTAAGTATCTGATGTTTCCGGCATAAAATGGTAGTCTGTATATTTTGGGCACTGTAGACCAGTTAATGGAATAAATTGAAAAAGCACTGGCAACTTTTTTATGAGTGAGATTGAGTTTGTTAGAGATACCTGTGACTTTTGGAGAAAAAGCGATAGATCATCTGCCTAAAAGCTTCAGAATCAGAAATCAGAGTCGGACTTATCCTGTTGTCCAATTTTTGGATTGAATGGCTTTTTGTCTGATGTTTGGGGCCTCTCTACAGAATGAAGGCTGGATAAGCATGGTCATCAATCTTAACATATGCATTTGCAGAACTAGATAATACACGACACACACAAGGAGGAGCAGAGAAAGCAAGTTTGTAACGTTTATCGTGAGATGTATTTCCAAATCTGACACTGGATATTCTTAAGCAAATGGAAATACTTCTGCTTCCAAATCCATCCCATTTAAACGGGTTCTCCCACTGTGACAAAAATCAAAGCCGATGGGGGCACTGGATACCTTCTTTACAAATCAGGAAAAACTGGCATATGTTTTGGCTTTCTTTCTTAGAAAATAGAGCTACACTGGTGTCAGTTTGGCAGTCTTTTCCTTTTAGGATCTATATTGAGGTTATACTGGATGACTGTAATTTTAGATTAAACATCATCATCAGACAATACACCAATAACTAATTCTGGCTCCAGAGACGGAGATTTACTGGAATTTGAGTAATGACTTGTTGCATCAGTCCTGTGTAATTGTAACGGCTTCATCCAGATTGGAGACAAAAGGCAAGCCTGGGCTGGTGGTGAATGTAGTGTAATTTGTCCTTAGATAAACTGAATCCCCCACAAACACACACACACACACACACACACACACCAGTGAGATGTTTAAAAACTACAAAGAACAATGAGATTAGCATTCTGCCGGAGGATAAAGATGACTTAATGTTTATCTACCTGTATTCCATCTTTGCTGCTCTTATCTATGATGTCATATCTCTAGTCCTGTTGTTATTAGTCAAGATGGAACTTGACTGACTTTGGTGGGTGAGTAAAGAGCAGCATCAGGTGTTTGTTTTTTTTCACAAAAAGAGGACATATTATTTGAAAAAGAAGAAATATCTTGCTCATATAGTTTCATGCTCTTTCTGAAAAGGATGGGGCTGCATTATGTAACACTGATTATGCAAACCAGTATGAACATGTACAGTAAGATTGTTTTTTTTATTATTTTATATAACCTTTAAAAATTCATGTCAAAATTTGTTAACAGGGGAAATAATCAAGAGTCAAATATTTCTGAAAGTCCCTCTAATTCTACAAAACATTAGGAACTACATCATAAAAGACTATGTGGATCTCAGAGTAATAGTTTGCCTCACAAACTGACATGTAGAGGCTGTAGTTTCTGGCCCGTCTCAAGTGTGGGATAGTCTTTGATGCATTGGGACTGTTTTATGTCTTTTAGCTTTGCTCTGCTATAAAAAAAAAAGAAAAAGGATTCAGTCCTGGATTCTCTATCACAAAGCAGATCTTTGTGAAAGAGCAATAGTAATATCAAGGTGAAGATTCTTCAGTAAGCTTTTATTTAATACACAGCTGAATTGATCCTGTAGAATTTTTCAATGCATACTGCAGAAAAAAAGATCAAAAGTCATACAATCAAATAAGTAAAACAAATTATCACTATATTGTGGTGAATTTTGGGTAAGTTTAGATTTAACCACACAATCTAAAATCGTCTGAGCAGCTCATCATCAACGCTTTATTCCTAATTTTGATCAAAGTTTATGCTTTGAGAATGAACAAAAAAGATTTTCCTTCTCACTTTGTGGTGCTTCAATTCAAATACTCTGATTGATTTAGCTTTTTCTCAATAAATGTGGTGGTAAATATCTGTGAAGATTTTCAGTCATCCAAGTCCTGGTCAAGCTTGGAAAATTCAGGTTAAGCAGCTGGAGGAAAAGTTCTCTAGAAGACGTTTGGCCTCTCATCCAAGAAGATTTTCCAGTTCTAACTGATGATTGGGAGCTCTGAGAATAATTTACTTTGGAGTGTTGGAAAGTGTGGTAAAGAAATACAGAAATGTGGAGGTGTGATAGTTCTTATAGTTTGTATAGTTCGTTATCATGGAAGCTATCTCTTTTGATTTTTGGATGGGAATTCAGTACCTACACCAAGTCCCAGACACCAAACCAACAACCACACACTGAACTATTGTGTTCGTATTGTTGATCCATTTGAAACTAGCGGAACATTCTCCACCTAATTGTGTTTTTGAGGAGAACGTGATCTTTTTTCTAAATACTCTTGCAGTTATGATCCGTCTGCTATGACTTCATATCAGAGCTGACAGGACAGATAATATGACGATAATAAACAGTGAAGGAATCATCTTCTCCTGGAGTGTTGCAATAGGTCTGGAACAACCCCAAACTCGTTTTCAAAAACATAAACATTTGACTGGAAAAACAAATCGGTTCACTTCCATCAGTGAGCTCAGTGTCAAACGCTGGCATGTTTAGTTTCAATTCAGTCATGTCTCAACCCTACCAGTCATTCTGATGAAGTCAGGGTTCCCTGAAATGTTAACACAGAGCAGCCAATAAAAAAAAAAATACATGTCACAACTTGAGCCCACGGGCTTATGAAAGCACTATCTGCTTTCAGAAACATCACGCCTGCTCAGGTCAGTAAAAGTATGATTTATGTAGCACACTTCAAAACCAAATGTTTAGTCAGTTCGTAAAATGCAGATGTGTCATCCCATAGCTATGTTACAGACACACTAATAGTGTTGAAAGATTCCTAACTGAGTTTACAGTGTCCAAATGAGAGCTTGAGTTATGCGGTGGAGATGAACAAAAAAGAACGGATGGTTGGAAGCGAGGTGATACTCCATGATTGAGCTGTGTCATTCGGAATTTAATTTTAATGTATAGCTTTAACCTTTTTTCCTATTTCCCCAGTTCATGTGTAAGTGGAAACAGAAGAGGTAGGGTTACTGTAGACAATAGTGCTGCATTGAAACAATAGTGACCAAATATTCAAAATTCTTCATTCTTTACCGCTAGCTTTGGTGATGAGTGGGCAGTATATTCACTTAGTATTGCAGAAATATGAAAGGAAAAGACCAGCTAGTAAGGCTGGCACAGTTATACTTGTCTGTACGATGCAATCTTTATGATGTTCTAGATTAGGGTTATTATTATGGGGCTTGAACCTATGACCATGGTGTCATTAAAGCCAAGTTCTGACCAGCTGAGCTGACCGGCCCATTCCAGAAATTTCTGACCGAAACAGTTCCCAAAAGGCCTCAAAGAAGGCTTAAACAAGAAAGCCTATGAGCCTAAATGAAAATTATTCCTTTCATATTACCTGACCATATTTTGATTGTATGTTATTTTGGATCATTTAAAGAATCTTAGACAAGTCTGAACTCCAAGAAAGAGAACTTTCAATCAGCGTCTGAAACTCATACAAGATTATTATAAATGTGCCTTCTAAAAAAAAGGTGCTTCCCCCCTATTATCTAATGAATAATAAAACACTAATAAAACACTAATATGCTCCAACATAGGGCTCTTCTCATAGGCAAAGTGTGGGGGTTGAGAGAGGGTCAGTGACTTCCTTGAGGTGAATCAAGACCGAACTTTTTGACCACAGAAGTCCAGGCAACAAATCTGTAGTACTTCTGGGAAACAGGAGAAGTATCTGTTGGTTTCTCTCAGCTACAGACCACTTGACATAAGTTTACCAATTTCTGGAATTTAGGCCATATGAGGTCATTTATTTCTCAACCGTCTCTTTCCCCAAATAATAAAGATGACAAGTGGATTTGTTTGCTCACACCCTTCTAAACAAATCCTGATATTCAAATGGTCACAGGAAAGACATTCTTATGATTGTTTCATGGACTTAAGAACATTTATTTCTAATGTACTGAAATATTGTCAATGATTATCAAAAAAACAAAGAAAGATTATCAAAGAAACTCCCTTTTACTGCATTTCTATGCTGAAAATATTCATATTTGTGTTTTATTTTCAAAACTAATTTAATTTGAGATGTGATCGAAGATATTTACAGATTTTTTTTAAAAAAGTGGCTTTCAAAGAAATGTGACTCAGACAGCTTCTTTCCTGTTGTGTTGTAAGTTAAGTGAGGATCATACAATTTCCTTACTTTAACAGCTTTGGTCAAACAGTGCTGCTTTTTTTTTTCTTGCTCCGTGTGAGTGTGTAACTTTCCCAAGTAAGTATTTTTGAAGAGCTTTATTGACCATAAGGAAAAAATATTAATGGAAAATACATCTGCAGCTTCCATTTTTAAAAACCCACAGATGAGCAATGAAACTGAAACCTCTGATTTGTGTGTGGAACTGTTACCAGTAGACACAAATACTAGGCATGTGTGTGCCTGTATGCGTCTGTGTTGATGTTCGAGGGGAGAGAGTAAAGATCACACATGGGAAGACAATTAATGAGACCCCGGAGTCTCATTGTATGAGTGAATACACACTTGCAGCATACACACACACTGTTGACAGTAAGCAGGAGGGGGGGAGTGTCCGAGTGTTTGAATAGCACACACACACACACACACACACACACACACACACACACACACACACACACACACACACACTCCGGCTATCTGGTTTGGAATGTTTGCTCTGTTGGAGTCCAGTTACACAAGGTAGGGGGGTAGTCCTCACCCTGTCTCATCCTAAACATCATCTAAAGGATCATTATAGTGCAGAAACAAAAGATTACAGACGTGATCACTTACTTACTTAATTTATCTCTTGTCTTCAAATGAGACTTTATATTCGCAAAGTAAACATAGTAAATGGTCACATTATATCAAGTCCACTGAGAGAACCCCGGTAGCTTTTATGTGCATCGTGAGCCATTTATATTTATCTTAGTTTTACTTGTATTGCTATGACACGATTTAAAGGCCATGATACAGTTGAATGATAGATCCCGATCTTTTTAACAGGTATTCGGTCTTTTTGCTTCATCCCTCATTTTTATATACCACTGAATAAGCATGATCAAATCAAATTTTCATGAGAAGAGATAGAAGCGATGCCATTCAGTTCCCCTGCATGCTTTCCATTCCTCCTCCCCTCACATTTACAACTCTTTCCATGGTAGTGTTCTACTCTACCACACCCTCCTCCCAAATACCTCCCATTCTCCTCCTCCTTCCAAGAGAGAGAGAGAGAGAGAGAGAGAGATAGAGGAGTGATCGGCCCTGAGAGTTTAAACGCAGGAGAGAGCCAGCCGAGCGCACACACACACGCTATGACATCATAGTGTCCAGGTCTGAAGAAACAACAATGAGCTGTAGCCAGACCACGGCTGAGGTAGGTCAGTTGGAGATGAGTTTCTTTTCTAATTCATTGAATGCTTGAAAAAATGAAAGTGTGTAACGTTAAATTCACAGCTGTTCTTCTTCTAGTCCTTGTCTTTTAAAGTTGATTTTCTTGCTTTTCCTGTGTCTGATCTATTGCAGAAAGAAGTGGATCTTTTAGGAGTTTGACAGTCTTGTTTCCCTTATGCTTTCAGGTGATAGTTTAAGTGACTGGTACTGGTAAAGAGGAGCTTATGAAAGAAGACAAACATGCTATCTGCTGATTAAGTTTAAAGTGAATAACCCAGAACAGATTTTAGCCCCAGTCTGGTAAGCTCTCACCTCTCGAGCCCCGTTCATCATTCCCCATTACCTCACGTTAAACCCCTCAGCATCCTAGCTAAGGCGAGTGGACTTCCTAACTGACCGGTGGCAGCAGCTGGTCCGATGGAAGGTCCGGCCCTGGCCGCGCTGGGGGACCTGTGCGAGGCCCGCTCTCCCTCTCCGGAGGGGGAGACGGTGTGCGCGGCCCTGGCCCGTTACGAGACCACGCTCCGGGACGCGGTGAGGAGGATCCACGCGGACGTGGCCGCCTTCAAGACGGGCGTGGAGCGGCGTCTGGACGAGACGGCCCACCTGGCCGACCCCCTGGAGCGGGCCGTGGTCCAGCTCCAGCAGGAGAACCGGCAGCTCAGGAACCAGCTGGAGGCCCTCGCCCGACAAGTGGAACTCCTGAGCGGCATCAGAGGCGGGGTGCTGAATAATAACCACGGTCCCGGCCAGAAACACTACGAAGTTCTTCAAGGAAACCACCAGGATGTGAAGGAAGTGGTCTACGGAAAGGGTGAGGCTCACACTCAGAACCAGGCTTACGTCTACAGTCTGAGCTCCACTTCGGGAAGCCACGCACAGACCTACAACGGCCTCGGCGGTCAGTCGAACTCGTCTTCGCCCCCTGGAGTGTTCCCGTGCTCCCAGAGCTCCGGCAGCCCCCCCGCTGGCCCCAGAGGGGCCTCCATGGTGGTGTGTCCGGCGTCCGGCTGCAGCCCCTCCATCGCCCGCTTCTCCAGCCGAGCCACCTTCGCTCTGTCCAGCAAGACCAATGTGAGTAAGACGTTTATCCAAAAGTCATACAAAGTACCCACGTGCTCCCTAACATAATGACCGACATAGTGCTCTAATAAAGCATTATTCACCGCACATTTGATACTAAGAATAATGATTAGTAAAATTACTCCAAATTTGTGTTTCCACCACTTTGTTTTACATGAAAGGAATTAAATAGATAGATTTATCTCAACAATTAAATTGTATTTATACAACAGAACTCAGCCGGGATGCTAAAGGACAAAGAACATAAGTCAGAGTCAAGAGACATTGGAAAATTGTTGATTATTTTTTCAAACTTTAAATGAGAAATCACAATTGAAAAATGTAAGATCCAATTGATCATAGTTGCTTTGGTCATCCTAAAAAAAAAACCCAAAGAAAACAAGACAATTCTATTTTTTCTTTTATTTAAACCCTTTCTTTACACTACCAAATAAATATAAAGCTTGATGAGTGAAACTAAATTTACTCGATGTACTAAATGTACCGCCTCCTCATGATAACAGGCCTTTTTTACAATATAATTTCAGAACAGACACTCATGACGCGTCTAAGTTAAATCAGAAAAGGACATTTTGATTGTGACAGGGTCTCTTTTAATCCAAGCCATGACATTTTAATCACCTAAGTGAATTTTTTAATGCATATCCTCGACTTACATCTTTTTATACAACTTAACGAAAAAGTTTGAATAATTATTTGACATTTTTACAGGTTGAACGTTGCATGTGTTCTGTAAGCCGCTTCCCCTTTACAATATAATTCAGGCCCTGCTGGTGGGAGTGTGTTGTAGGCTCTCTCTAGAAATCAGTCTATATGCGTTGCTCAAGGAAGAGTTTTCTGTGAATACTGTCCATGTATGGAATTCAGGCGATAGCACATCTGCAGTTGCTGGACTGTGACGGTTTTAGCAGATATTAGGTTGAGATGGTTTTTCCACAGTTGGGAAGAAGAAAAAGCAGAGAGCTTCTTCACTTTCTTTAGTTTTATTGGAAAGTTCCTGCTGATCAAGGTGGAACTGTTCTGTTTCCAACTATAGTATTTCCTTGTGATGTCAGCTGGAATACACTCTCCCTGTTTAAAACACAAGAAGCCACACGTTCACGTAATGCTAATAGCTACCCCGCCTGCATTTGTACTTATCAAGCTATGTGGTGAAGCCAAAAGGGGATCTTATCTTCTCTCATATCATCTGGTAAAGGGAAAAACAGAACAAGGACTGTAGCTGGCTAAATCATGTCATATTTGCAAGAGACCAAAAAGATACAATGCAAGTTCAGCTAGCTGTTCAAACAGGCCTGGCTGAAAAAATATACACAAACTCACACGCACACACTGCATGTATTTGAATCGGCTCCAGACTAAGCTGATGCTATCAGCGAGTGGGAGATGTGTATAGGCGTGTCTGTCCTCCAGCCGGCTCTCCAGCTGTTACAATCCAGCTGTCAATCATCAGAAAAGCACCCACACACCCACAGCGTGTGAGCGGGATCTACGTCAGATCAGGATGACACACACACCCCATATTTTTGTGTATAATGAAAAGTTCGTTCTGATATTTGAACATGAAGCTGAGATAAGATATAACAGATCTTCTTTCTTTAGAGAGATTTATTGTATCTGCTTAAGATGATGATTAATGTTATTCAGTTAATGTAAAGTCTGGTATTATTAAAATGGTGATGTTCACATTAAGAAGCTTGAATGAGAACCCAGCTGTGTGCATGGATGTACCGTACCCGCTTCCATCTGGAAGGTTTTATAGCTTTGTGCAGAGATAGCTGCAACTGGTCTGTCACCGAATGGTTTTCAGCTGCCAGAAGGAGCTGAGATCAGCATCAGGACACGGCTAAGGCCTCAGCTATGTCCTCTCTTCCTTTTCATTATCTGAATGTGTTCACATTTCCCAGAACAAACACACATTGCACACACACACACATTCTACGAATCCTAGAAAGCAAGTCTGATGACAGATTTTTTCCAGAACTGTAGTTTCTCTTTATTTTGTCTCTTACCAAATACCTCCAGCCTCATGATCTTTGTGGCTGACTAAATTTTACATCTGACTATAATTTAATTTATTTTTAATCAGTCTTAATGAAGTTTTAGCTATCTTTTAAAAGAGACTAAAGGAAGGTGTAGAAGCAAACTAAAATGATTAATTTACCTGTTCCTAAAATTAAGACAAGGCAAAGTCCTCCAAACTATCTAAACTATTATTCATTTTGATGGGTCATTTTGGATTGGATAGCATTAACGGATATGTCAGTGCGCAATTTGCTCCAAACATGCCTTACTTCTGCTTTATTTGTAGTTTGAAAATAACAAATTCTTGATTCTGTTCAGTGGTTAAGCTTTAATTGACAGAATCAGAGAAGAATGTGTGACAAAGTGTTCAGAATACCTTGTTAAGATTGCAGTGTTATTCATCTTTATATATTATTTATTACTAAGATGAAGAGATTTGAGACTTCTCCGTTACATGTGGAGACTCATTGGACTAAACTTGCCCAGACATTTTTCTGATAACGCTGATAAACTTCTGTATCCCTTCTTCAGCCAGCCACTCCCTGAGTTTTTCCCTTATTACCTCTCTGTCTTTATCCTCCAAAATCCCTCCCTAGTCCCTCCCTTTGAGCTGGTCTACACTCTAAGGCTGGATTTATGACACAACTTTCTCAAAATGGTTCTTAATAAAAACCACTGAGTCAGTTTATAGGATAGTTTCCCTAACACAAACATGGTTATAAAAAAATATATTTAAAGAATTGGCATTTAACGGAAACTTTGACCTGTAAAATATAAATGAATCACTTTATCCTAGTTAGAAATTCCCTGTAAATCCATGAAAATCTCTTTGATTCATTGTGTCTCTGTGTTCAATGTTAATATCATTTTAAATGCTTTTACCAGCAAAGGGAAAAACTATCAGTAATTATAACAGATATTAAATGATGTAAAAAAGAAGGTGGAAAAAAGGCTATTTGAGTGTGTGTGTGTGCATGTTTGTGTGTGTGCGTGAATTTGTGTGTGTTTTAAGTATTTAACAGAGGTATGCAACCCCTCCCTGGCTACCCTGGCTTCTCTTAATGACTTCCAGACAAAAGGCCGTGTTCCCACCAGCATCTCTGTGGTAACGGGTTAATAACTGACTGCCTGGTGGTGCAGCTTACCCCCACGGCCTGCTGGAACTGCTGAGACCTACCGAAAAGTCTGCCTCAGGACATCAGCTCATGTCACTGATGTCCATCTTAAGGAAACTTTTATTTTCACTGGACTGCAGTGTTGTGGTGGAAATGTTTCATTTTCAGTCAGAGACATAAGTATGTTCTCGAGGAGGATAGAGACAATAGTTTTATCCAAAAAGTTCACAACACAAAGCAGTCAATACAACACACAAAGATGCTCTGATTACACAGAAACTTCCACTACAATTTATAACCTTTCCCTTGGGGAGGGAAAACTCTCCAGGAGAAGATGTCCCGAGATATTGCGAGATATGACGACCTGAAAGTTTGACCCAGCACCCACATTCAGAATGAGCCACTGGCTTCTCTATTCTTGTAAAAACAATGAGCAATAAGCGTATTAAGAGTCCAGTGTGTGGTATGAATCTTATTTGAACAACGGCATGTGTACAAATGTTCTGGAGAATTTCACAGAAACAGACATTAATCAGCTTCAGGGAGCAGATGACACACAGTGTGAGGCTAAGGTTCTGGGTAGGAAGGCGGGGGGGTGTGGAGAGATCTCAGCTCTGTCAGAGACTGGGTCTCCCCCGACGGGAGGCTGAACATGATATAGCACTAATGTTGGGCATTTAGAGGGAAATCAGCAGCAGGTCCATCACTGTGGGGAGGGCATTCAGACTCTTGACAGTGTGTATGATGGAATAGAAGAGAAGTAGAAGGCAGAATAAAAAGTCCCACCAACTGAGATAGTGTGTTCATTTAAAGAAAAAACTGCTGCATTTGACAAGGTATCAGCATAGATGAACACAAATGTTATATATATGTATATATATATGTCCATCCAAGTAGTTTGATATATGTTTCAGTTTAAGGGGACTGCCAACAGGTCAGTTACACGATTGGTTAATCAAAGAGCACTTTAGAGAAGTATAGTTAAAAGTCTGAAAAAAAAAATGATTTAAATCCCTTGAATCTTCGCTTTTGAGTAGATGGCAGCAAGTACGCCTCTCAATGTACTTAGAATGTCCTAAGACTGAACGGAAGTTTGCAGACGCAGAAGAGGAAGGAATTTAAGAAAATGTAAACATTTTTTTTTTAGGAAAGTCAAGATGTTTATGCTTATGCATTCAGCAACACACGAAGTCAACTAATATGAACTAACACACTTTAAAATACAGCATCTGACCGGTCTGTGGGGGGTTAGGGTGAGCAGCAGAATGTAGAAACAACTGAACATTTGGACAGGGATGCACTGTGGAGGATCCAAAAAGGAAGTGACAGAAAACAAAATTGATTTAAGATGAACATATAAAATGTGACACTAAAACAGAGAAACAATTAGTAAACTCGAACACACTGGAAGCTGACAATAAAAACAGCAGCAGTACATTAGAGCAGTTATGTCATAAAATGACTGCATTGGCCGGGGAACACAGGCCACGCTCCATCAAACTTGTTGCCATAAAAAGAAGATACTTTCGCTTGGAAAGAGGCTTGGTGATGGGTGACTGGTGGGGGGACTTTCTCCTGGGGGGGTTCCGGGTTAGTCACCAGCATAAATGAACTCCTCTGTAAACTTGAAATAATTTTTTATTACATCTCGGCTGGGGATACCACATCAATCATATTGTCACCAACCCCACATTTGGGTTAACACATCTGACAGAGAGAATTATCTTGAACATTTTGGGTTTCTACAGTTTGTGAAATTAAATGAAGCTTTTTCCCCGCAGCACAGTATTTCCCAGAGATTTATCTTGGAGACAAATTGCAAGCTATGTTTGAAAAACATGTGGTTTGAGTGTTTCTTTCTGAGTAAGAGATTGTTCCTCTCTAGACCGCTTGGGGGGAAATGACAATAGTATTATCTGTTGGAATGAAAGTCAGAAATGTAAGAAAAGAAAGATGAGCGAAAGTCCACAGCATTAGCTTTATCTCATTGCCAAGGAGAAATTTGTTTTCCATATTGGAGATTCTGCGTGCTTACACAGGTTCCACTACAAATCCATTTTTTATATCCTCTAATCACTATCAAATAACCTGTGTGTAACCTTAGAGTTGGCCTCTAATAGAAAACTGCTTTAGATAGCTTTCTGACCAAAAGAAGAGAAGAGAAGAGAATAACTCTGAATTTGTAAATGATGACTTCACTGACCGACTGCTTTGCCTCACAATGAATTCAGACACACACTCTAAGATTCACAAATACCTCTCTCAGTTAATGCACAACAACAAGAAAACTGTAGCAAACTGTAATGACAACTTTAAAGGCAAGGATACTCTGTTCAACAGTTCTCTTTCAGGTATCAATCTATGATAAATACTCAATACTGTCCTCATTCCCACACCGTGGGAAAATTTTGTGTGGTGTCTTGACAAAATGGGCCCTTTTGTGAAATTTTGCCAAAAGTAGAGTGAAGGCAGGGATTACATTTATCAGCAGCATGACTGACTGTTGGGTGACTCAGTATGTGTTTGAGTGGCTTTTCTGCATTTTTTACCACTCCGGTGTGAGTGAATTTGATTTTATTTCAGACAATTACTACAAACGTGATCGGTAAAAGACTGGCAAAAAGAAAAAGGAAAAAAAAGAACTGAAAAAACAACAGCTTATACATTTTCATTGTATCAGCTCGACACTGCATTACATATCCATATAGAAATATGAACATTAAGAGAAAAAACTGTCAACAAAATATCAAATTGAACAAACTTAAGTATATGACATGCCTTTAGGGATATTTGTTAAGATTGAACAGATGGAAGTAATGTTTGTTTGTTTCCTTCCCTCACTTTAATTCAGGGTCTGTGAAAACCTTAAATGAACACAGACTGTTAAGTGCTTTTAGACATGGCTTCAAAAGAATATTCATCAAATAAAACAAAAGGGGACCATTTTTAAAGCTCTGATCAAACGTTTCGGGTGTAGTGTAGAAACTGTTGATGCTTGATTGTGAACCTTTATAACAGATTATGTGTAGAAATGAGGATACCTCTATCACCCTTCTGCCCCGAGCTGTGTATAGAGTTATGAAATAAATAGGCAGCCGCACGTAGCAATGAGACCTTGAGATAACAGCTGCAACTGTTCCTTTTCCCCATTTGCCTAGAAGTGGACATTTGAACAACCCCGCACCCGCCTCACTCCCCAAAAGCCCGACATTCTGTAATTTGTCTCACTCCACTGGCTGCGGGGCCAGCTGTTTGCTGCACGGCCAGCTGTTTGCACCCTCAGCTAACTACTCCTCTATGCTGTTTCTCCATCATCACTCCATTATTGACTATAAAGAAATAGTTTCCCTTCCTGGAGACTTGTTACTGGGTTTAGAGAGTGCAAAAAGTAATAAAGCAGTCATAGCACATTGCCTTGTTTTAAGATTAAAAATGATTCTATAAGTTGTTTCCTGTGACAAAACTCAAAGAGAAGCATAAACCTAATTTGCTCTATTTCCCTTTTGCTGATTTTCTGGTTTTAAATCATGTTTACAATGTCAATCAGGTTTGACATAGTTTCTAGTTGCAGCCGTCAGCTGACAGACTGGAACAAACAAAATCCAAAGGGCAGTCAATGGGAAAAATGAATGAATACATGACTGAAGAAAGACGTGATGCAAACAGCAGTTGGTTTATTTTCTGTACTTTTTGTGAGCTGCGTGGTGGTGTGGTGGTCAGCTAAGTAAGCTGACAGCAAGAGGGTTCTGGGTTTGAATCCCTGGAGGACTTGCTTCTATGTTAACCTTGAACTCCGTCTTGGTTCCACCATCTAAAAAAAACTGACGCCTCAGCAGTTAAGAGCTTTTTTGGGTAACCATTATGCAGGAAACTTAGTTTTGTTTGCTTTTTTCAGTTTTTTTTCTATTTCATTTGGAGGTTTTTTGCCAAAAAGAGGAGGATTAACAAACAACTTGTTTATAGAAAGCCTGACTTTGGCTCTCCTGCCCTGAGATCCACAAAAAAAAAAGGCAACGAGACGTGCGGCTCAATGCTGAGTGTGAGAAAATGTGCACAATTGTCGGACTGAACCGTTGACCTCCGAAGTGTTGCTGTGTGCTGAAGAGGCTGGCTATCAACTGACTCAGCTCCGCGTATCTGTGGGACACGGACACATGGAAAGCGATGGCCGTACCCACAACCCCTGTTGTTTGCGTTAGGCTGAGATAGAGGTATCTCCCCGGTATGCTGGCCGCCAGCCGCACGTGGTTTGATTATACTTGCAGAATGGAAACAAAGCCTCCTGCTGCAGGTCTGCGCTTATCTCGTTGGCAGGAAAGAAGCCGGGTCACACAAAAAGCTGCCAAATCAAATCTGGGAATGGATTGTGTTTGGCTCAGAGACTGATGTTTTTTGTGTGAGGCGGGTGGCTTTTGGGGAGTCTTCCTATTTTTGATAACGTCAGTGAAAGCAGTGCATAAACGATAACTTCTCAGGATAGAAAAAAGGATGGGAACTGGAAGGCAGGCCTCAATTGAACACTACTTCTTCTCCCACCTTTTTTTCTTTTTATTTCAGTGTGGGATAGCCTATGAAGCATCAGCCTAGACTGTGTTTCTTCATTCTTTTTTAACATTTTCTACTGAGCTCTTTTTCTGCTGAGACGCAGAGATATGGACCATTCTCTGCGTTGGTTAGGATGCTGCTTCTTTTGTGATCCGTTACCATGGCAACGGTGGGGTAACAGCTGGCCAAATGAACCCTCTAAAGCTCGGGTACTGCGAGGTATAAGACTTTCAAATCAAGATGAACTAGAGAGTAGGAACCATTAAGGTCATGCTGGAAGAAAATGGAGAAAAAGGCGAAAGTAGTTAGAACTATTTTTTTGTCTCGGTCATGGTGAAGGCATGGGACTGCTGGCTGATGGGATGGATGGCCTTTGACTCCTGATGAGGACTCAGAAGGAACAAAGGACAACGTCATTTGTCTTTGACACATAACTGTAGGAACACCTCGGATATCTCTGCTTGATGTTGAGTGTTTGTGTTTCAGAGCATTGAGAGAGAAGAACCGATAGAAATCGATCCAGTTCCAGTACACACTGGACAGGAGAACGGAAACCATGCAACTACAGGTAATCACACAGAACCTATAGTTTAGTTCTGAGGCACAATTGTGCATCATTTTAATGTATCTATTTAGATGTGATGGGTGCTTCCAGTTCTAAGAGAGTGGTTGAATGTCTTGAGTTTTGATGGGGGAGCATTGTCAATCTGTTCAATACTTAAAATCCTGCATCTTAATGTTTAGTTATCAGTTGTCCTGCAGAACTGATCAAAATTGAAAGACATTTTTTTCTTCAGGCTCAGGTTTATTTAATTCTTGTTTTGGTTTTAACCAACTCCTTCAGTTGAAGGCCAGTAACTCCATTAGGCCCCAGAAACGACATGTTTTCTAGTAGTCAATAACAACGGTTTTGAAGAGAGTCCCAAAGATTTCAGCCCAGTAGCCTGAGGCTGTGACCCCTGACCTTTTTCTGACTTTTGGTGATAAAATATTTTGAGAGACTGACTTGAACCTTCATCGCCTCCTCCCTACCTGCCACCTTCGATCTACTACTCTCAACGGACTGACCCAAAGATGAATCCATCCCATTCCTTCTCCCTCCAAGGGAATACGTTACCGAACGGCCCAGCGGTGGCCATTGCTGCAAACAGATGGATCCAAGACTTCCTGAATGACAGAGAACAGTCTGTTCCATCATCAGATAGAGCAACAGACAGCCTCTCTACGGCTCAGGAACATAGAAAGCATGTTATCTGGGACACACTCTGCACAGGAAGCTGCAGAACGCACCAAAGATAGTGGACTCAGCTGAGCAAACACCAGCCAAAGACTGGACTTATCTCATTTTATTTAAATACTTGTGTATGTGACAGAGAATTTCAGAGAAGAAATACAGTGCCAAGTGGAGTTATCAAATTTCATATGAAAGATTTGAAATATTTTTTTCCCCCAACAGAGCATACAGTGTTGGTACACGGAAAGATCTCCCCACCCACTTATTCTCAACCTGACGACACTCCGACCGCGTCCACACGGATGCCACACCTCCCGATCACAGCATCGACCAAGACAGCAGAAATAAAGACTTCTCAAATCTCTGCTGGCAGCCCTGTTAGTTCTCTGCCTCCTACCGGCCAGATAACCCCCGGCACCTTCCGGCCCCAACCCACAGAGGACTCTGCAGTTGAAGCAGGTCTTTTGAAAATTGAACGATTAAATGACTTATCCTGTTACTTTTAAACATAAATGCGGCACATTTTCGTTTTTCTTCAGCAAGATCCCCTCATTCAGTGTCTTCTTTTCACTTTCTTGCCATCAGTATATTCTGTAAAGACATGGGCCTCTTCACCCAACAACGCTATGGGATCTGCAAGTCTTCTGGGTAGGCGACAGTGTTATGCAAAGCCCTGATACAAAAAATACAAAACTGTGCCGTGTAAGAATTCCTTTCTCAGACGTCTCTATGTATCTCCTCAGGAGAGAAGTCAAACGCAGCTCCTGCTAAGTCTGTTTCCTACTCAGAGCTGCTCCAGCATGAGAGGTGAGTCCAAAGCGAAGCTCGCGCCTTCGGGGACGGATAAGACGCGCTTTGCTTTTCGTTTGACACGTGCGCGTTGCAGAGACGACGACGGAAGAAGGGACAAGTCCTCCGGCCAGGCGGGGGAGAGGAGGCGGGAGCTGGTGCGGTCGCAGACCCTCCCTCGGAGCATAGGGGCCCAAACTCGCCGATCTCTCTTTGACAGACTGGACTCCGAGGCCAGAAACAGGTAAAATGGGACCACGAGCTGTAAATGTTCAGCATAGTAACAGTGATACATACTGTAGGGAGAAAAAAGTCGTCTGCATATTTCAAGCCTTCCTTTTGTTTTCTGCGCAGCGCCCCAAAAGCTGTGACACTGAAGCGGTCCCAAAGTTTCGGGGTGTCCAGTGCCAGCAGCATCAAGCAAATTCTTCTGGAGTGGTGCCGCTCCAAGACCATTGGCTACCAGGTACAACACTGACAATAGGTGCTATCCATTCAGTCATTAGAATTTGAAGATATTAAAAGTATTGCAAATGTATTCAAAATAACATTTTCCATGATTTGATAACTTACATTAATCAACCTTTTTTGTGCTGAATTTCAATATTGATTCCATATAAGCATTCTGTTTGCGGCTTCTGTCCATTTACAAAGGATTGCCTTCATTTTATAGCAATGTCTATCATTTCCAAAGCAAAAACATGACCATTTATCCAGGCCGCAGTCTTTTAATGGTCTGATTGGCCTCAGATGATGATAGAGACCAAAGCAAAAGAGCAGTAATCGTCACAAAAGATTAATTGTAATGAGGTTCTCCAACTATTCAACTTTCAAATTAACCTTTGATCCAAAAATACCTAAAAAGTCCTCTACATGTGAATGAACAGATACAGATAACAGTCTTCGACCCAGCATGTTAACGTCACACTTATGGGGTTAGGCTGACTTAAACTCGAAGTTGTAACCTCTTAAATAGTGAACATATAATAAGTTGGTAGTTTGGGGGAAAAAGGCATGTCAGAAATATAGTGGTGAGTACAGAAATAACAACCAATGTAAAGTCTTAAAGTTAATTCTAAATGTCTTCAAGCATGATTCAGTTAATCATCAGGTAGTAGAACTGTAATAATCATGAAGCTAATTTATCTGCCAAATATGCTGACCTTAAGCAGGAATGATAAACCCCCCTGTCCCAAAATACATGTTGTAGATAAATATATTACGTTTATTCTGAAAAATTCAGAAAATATGGTATGTATTAAACTTCAACTGTTATAGTCTTATTCTTTCCAAAGCAACCTCCAATAAAAAAGACTTTAAAAACTGAAGTAAACTGCAAATCAGGATAAAAACTTCCCTCTTACAGGTTCTGGGATGAACTAAGGTATTGGATTTAGTCCAGAAAGGCTTTTGTTGTGCATGTAATAACAGTGTTTGCTTCCATGGAGATGTCAGAGGAATGCTGAAAAGGACTAATCAAAATCAAAATTCACAACACCGCAATTCTTCAGTTATTAATGTTTTTTTTTCCTAATGGCACTTTATCATCATCAAGATGAAATACCACCAACATGATGGTGATGATCTTCATGAACTGATACGAGTTTTTTTCTGTAGTTATTGGAAATTGCAGGAAAAAGTGTTAATTTGCAAGACTGTAATCAAAGAGGCTGGAAATCCTGAACAGAGAAAAGATTCTTTAGTGGAAAATATACTTTACTGCTATGTGCACAGGGTTTGTTTGGATGGAAACCACCCCCAAAAAAGGCATGGGGACAGATTCATACCCTAAAAGATGTGCAAAACGGACATATCTGTCTTGGGGTCATGTTTTGCTCATATGGTTTGGGTAAGACATGTCCAGACTTTACGACTCCCTTTTGACACGTCCACTGACCCATTCTGCCATAGATCCAGTCTGTGTCAGGTCTATGTGGGGTCAAGCCTCAAACATACAGTGGCCTGCTGCCAGCATTCAGCCAAGAGACGCTAGCTCTTCAAAATAACAAAAAGTCAAACAAAAAAAAACAAAAAAGAGCGGCAATACATCTTTAAACAGCGTTGATCTCATACTTGTGAGAGCAGATTTACACCCCTAAGTGGCCATAAACTTCAGGTTTCCATGCCGTATCAACACATAAAACAAAATTCAGTCCCGAAACATTTGCGTAAATAATAACATCAAATAATAACTTTTCAGTAATCATGGAGACTAGAAAGGAAAAACCTGACCACAGACTATTAACTTAATTTCATTACAAAACACTCCAAACTTTATAGACGCACCTTTAACTAGTAATTACAGCATTAGGTCTTCTTAAATACGATGCCAAAAGCTCAACACAGCTTTTTTTGGGCAGTTAACTTTTTCTACTTTGCAGAACCTCTTAAGCTCCAGGATTCACGTCAGTTCTATTTATGGTTTCATGCTTTGAAAACTGAAGTCTTTCCTCAGTTAGCTCCGCAATTTTAGTGAGGAGGGCACAAAGAGGTTGGAAATTGGAAACATAGGGCAAAAAAAAAGAAAGAAAGAGTAATGTGCTGTGATTAATACCCGAGTGGGCTGGGAGCCTAATACATCATCCTTTCAGTGCTGGAGGTTTTGTGCAAGTTTTTCTAAAAGCGCCGTGTAAAGTTACGAGTTGCCAGGCCATTCTTTGGAGGTTACAACAGCTTTTCAGAGTACGGCTGGTTTATTGCCCAACAGACATTTTTACCCAGAATTTGTGCGATCAACATACGTTTCGTAATGAATCATGGCTTAAAGGGAAAGAAAAATTGGGAAAGAGCTGTGGGAGGAATTATGGAATAATAGCAGTTTTCTCTATTATTTGACAAGAGATTACAAATTGCTCAGATTCAGAAGCTGTAAAAGATTTAATAAAGAAGGAAAACCATCATTTAGACATCTTAAATCATGCTAAGCAGCATTTTGGTCTGTTAGCTGACTTGCTTCTTTTGGTAACAATGTGCCATGTGGAGCCTCTTGATCCGGGGAAGATGATATTGACTGTTTTTGGAAGTAGTCTGGACGCGGCCTAACGCTGGCCTGATGTTGGACATTTTTTATATTGAACATGTCCGAGCCTGTGAAGCCATCTTTTTTTTCTTTCTTAAACTGGCTGGCAGTTTTCTGGTGCTGTCGAAAATATGTAAAGTTGAGAATTGACGGTTCGGGAGTGTGTGGGAGTGTGACTTCCTCCACTTGCTTGCATATCAATAATTCACCGCTTTAAAAAAGAGCTTGAAACTGGAATTTTAGCTATTTTGCATACAGTGAAGCATCATAATGGACATTGATACAAAAATTATCTTCTCTTATAGCTGTCTGTTATCAGTTTTTAACCCAGTTAAAAGACAGAAAGGGGGAAGTGTTAATTATGTACCTCTCAAGAGCAAAGAAGAACGTCTCCTTGCGAAAAAACAGGTGTGTTCTGTGTGCAAGTTTAAAGGAGCAAGCCGACAGGACTCAGAGTGAGGAAGTCTAATTCATTGCTCGGGATCCTGACACATTGCAGCAGTTTAGTACATTCTTGGCAGTTTGCGTCAGCTGCTCCATGTGGGTTCAGTTATGGTCAAGTAAACATAGCAAAACCATGACTCTTATTAAAACACACACACACACACACACGCGCGTACGGAGGGAAAAAGTCGGTCGGATTATTTGCCCTGTTGCGTTTAATTCACGGCAAACCCCAGACTAATAAAGCTCGGCTCTGAAACGACACCGTTTTCAAGCCTATTTCAGACTGAACGGAAAAGAAGAGAGAGTCTGTTTTAACCATAATTATGGGCTAGACGGCGAGTGGGAGACGGCTTCATGACGTTCCAACGGGCTGCCAGACAGCTTGTGTCATTTTTACATGCCTCTGCGCATCAGTTCTTCCAACACACTTCGGTGATGCTCCCTTCCTCTGTGTTTGTCTCCAGAATATAGACATCCAGAACTTCTCCTCCAGCTGGAGCGACGGGATGGCTTTCTGTGCTCTGGTCCACTACTTCTTTCCCACCGAATTCGACTACAACTCTCTGTCTCCTGCCAATCGCAAACTGAATTTCGAAGTGGCCTTTGGGACTGCAGAGTGAGTGACGCTGATGTGAAAATGTCAAAACGCGAAGGGGGTTTTAACCACACATTTTTTTAAAGACACCGCTTTTCCTAAAGTTTCGTAGCAGAGAGAGGAGAGATTGAATTGCTTTGATTTAAGCTTTAGCACTGATCTGACCACTTGTGTGTCAGAACAAAATGAAGAGTGCAAAAACTATTCCTCCAGCCTCTCTTTGGTCTTTTTTTTTTTTTTACTGAAAAATGGCCTTTGGATTTAGTTTTCTGGATCTGGCTGTAGATAAATTGGCCTGATCTGCCTAAGCAGCGTGTGCACGTGTCCTGTAGAGATGCATTTTCTCCATTTCTTTTACAACTCAACTGAGTTATTTTACATAGGGGGGACGTAATACTCTACACATTCAGTACACATTCCTTTTGCATGACTCCATGTCTTCCCAGACTTCTGGCTCCTGAAGCAGGATGCATAAGCGGTTTATGTTATAGAACCAACACCGGGCAGGCCTGACTCATGGTTACACATTCTGTTCAACTAAGCCAAAAGACATCTCTAGATAATACATTAAAGGCTATTTTATACTTTTTCTGAGTGTTTTTGTGAAACACAATGTGATGAAGAGTCAATTCAGAGTTACCTTCTGTGCCTATGAAACACACTTTTGCTTTTTCATAAGTCATGAATTGACTCAAAAACCTAAAATTGTTCAGTTATATATTTTGATCCATTACATTTTAAGTTTTCAGGGAGGCAAGCAGTTCGGCTGTCAATAAATGGCATTTAGGTGTATTTATTTTACTTGAAATATTAAAAATGTTCCTGGTGGTCTAGATTTCTGCACAGCTTTCCCCTGACATGTGTCTGTCTGTACCCGGCTGTCTCCAGGGCGAAGGCGGGCTGCGACCGGCTCATCGAGGTGGATGACATGATGATCATGGGCCGGAAACCGGACCCCATGTGCGTCTTCACCTACGTCCAGTCGCTCTACAACCACTTGCGCAAATTTGAATGAAGCCCAGAAGTCACGATCGGAGTTAAACTATCTGTTTGCTTTTTTGGCTCTGAGGTCTGAGCAGAGCCCCCCGGAGTCAGAGCAGAGCTTTAGAGAGGCAGGGTCTCCTCCTAGTGGTGGATTATTGTATTTTTCCTTAACCAATACAAAGAAATGACCTGCTCATCGGACAAAAAACTTCATCACTAGATGAATGGACTGCTGTGTCCACTGTATTGACATCTAGGGGGTTGATAGTGATGTTACTGTGCATGATGAATAATCAATAGAGCTAATTTTGACAAAGATCCTTTCTGTAGACTTTGTTTTGTATTGAAATGTATTAAACTGGCCAGAGAGGGAATGTTGCTTTGTGTTTGAAAGATAGTGTCTATACCAACCTTTGCACCTCATCTTTTACTGAAAATAATGTTAAGTAAAATGCAATTGTCTGTGGATTTGTTGTGTGACGCTAAAGTAATGGGATGAGGAACAGGTAAACAAATAAAGGGTGATGAACACATGAATATGTTTTGTCTCAACACGGATACTTGTTTAGGCTTTGGAAAAATAGGAGGATGAAGACAAAAATGCAGGAAATCCATCTGTTAGAATAACTGACTGACATAGCCTTAAATCTGTTAAGGTTTCAGTCTGTCTCTCACTTAATGTCATAGGACTAGAAAAAGCCCCAAACATGGTTCTTAAAAGAGGAATGATAAACCAAACGATATAGGACTGAATATAAATCTCACCCTGAATCCTCCCTCCGTCTCAGGCAACCTCAGGTGGGTAAAGAATCTGAAGTAAAAGTACATCCTCACTGTCTAGTCTGAAGTTTATGTAAAAAAAAACTATCAAAAGTGACTAGTCTGTCATTTTGAGGACAAAAAAGTTCAGTATTATAGGCCCTTTTCATTTTTTGGCAGCCTAAAAACAGCTGTATGGTGGCCATGAATGGAAATAGTTTAACAGTAACTCTTGAATGAAATAAAGTTATTTCGGGGCGGAAACAATCATTTGTTGCCTTCCTGTGAGTCCTAATTACTTTATGCAAGTAAAAAACAAAAAAACAAAACATCACTAACACCAGAAAAGGCTAATTTAAAGGTTGTTGTGGCAGATGGTTGTGGCTTCTAAGCTAAGTTGAAAATGATCTATATCAGTGAGCAGTGAATAATTCACAAGCGTAAACAATTCAAAGAAAACTCAATTCAATAAAAACCCAAATTTCCATCTTGTTAATTACACAGTAGAAACCAAACAGAAATACAATCCATCTTATTGAATCCGTTGCAGCCATAATCTTCACAAAAACGCATCGTCTCGTTGCTTTGGACATAAGTTAATGTATATTTGCATTTTGTGCTTTTCTAATGCCAAAAAGGAGAGTTTCAGACCAAAAAAAAGAAAACAGGCCACAAAAAACATTTAATTGCACCTGAAAATCAGAGGGATGGGAACAGAATTGTGGACATTGTTATTGACAATAATGCAGAGGGTGTAAGAAAGAAAAATGAAAAACAAACCAAAAAACCCCACAAGGGAGTAAAAACACTGTGGGGAACATCTGGAACATGAGACTGTGTGAGTGTGTGTGTGTAAGTGGGGGGGGGGGGGGGGACAAAGAATATCTGGGTCTATTGACAGCAAACAACAATCCAAACACCAAGGACTGAAAATGGAAAACAGAATACAAATACAAACAGCCAAGAGGGAAAACTGAGCCGTGTCGTGCTTGAAGTGGCTTCTAACTTCCACACAATGGCATGATGCCATTTATTTATCTGTCATGTTGACTTCAAATATCATAGGTTCATAATAATCTGGGAGTTGAAAAGGGGTCACAAAGAGTAAAGCAGATTATTAAGCCTCCGTGACCTATTTAGGGGTAAAATGCAGAATAACTCAAGGGGCCAGTTTTGTCGGAAATATTTAAGAAGACCAACTCCATCTATTTGACTTGTAATACACGATATGAAATGGGATATGTGGATCAAAGGATTAATAGTGTGTCAATCAAAAATTGAAATAGGCCCATAAGCTTTGTCAGAGATTCCTTCAGGAGGCATTCCTTGGTGATTGTTGGTCGGGTCATCATCCACCAGCTCCTACAGAAGAGTGGTGTGCATCCGAGGGCTGCAGGACACCTGCGTGTGCTGTGGGCCCCACCTGATCTGAAGGGATTTAAGGACCTACTGACTCCTCCTCGGGCTGGAGGGCTGCTGGCAGTTCGGGCTCTGCTCACAGACTCGACCAGGGAGCGGCACACAGAGCTGATGGATTTGAAGTCGTTGTTTGGAGGACAGGAGCCCTGTAACGGTGAGTGGATGGGCGTTTGTTTTTTAGATGGTCAGAAGAAGAAGGATTTTGGTTTACTTCAACTTAATTCTGCTATTTCACTGTTTCACACAGTGGAAAGATTCTTAAAGTTATTATAGAACAGTTACAAACTAAATCAGATAGTGAGAATGAGAAAGAAATAAAGTATTCTTCTTCTAATTCTTCATCTTCTAATTATTATAGGTATTAGTATTAGTAGTAGTATCATTATTAGTGTTGCTGTATTGACTTCTACCAATAATGATAAATACATAATCTACAAAAAATTCTAAAAAAAGTCTATAAAATAATTAATTCCTCTTTTAATTCGAAGAAATCCCCATAAGAACACATTTAAACATTCGGATTATTCTAAACCATTAAATGATAAATAAAGTAGATGCTTCATTCAGTTGTCCCTGACCCCTCGTTTATCTGTGCGGTCAGATGGCCAGAGCGCGTGCGTCGTGTCCTCTCCCGAGCCGGACAGACCCGTCGGTTTGATGGAAGGTCAGAGGAAAAGAAAGAGGACCATTTTCAGCCGAGCCCAGCTCTCCGAGCTGGAGCAGGCCTTCGCCGTCACCCCGTACCCCGACATCACCCTCAGGGAGCGGCTGGCCGCGCACACGCACTTACCGGAGAGCAAGATACAGGTGAGCTGCCGATCGGCAACTCCATCCAGTTTCTCACCGACTGCCTTGTTTTTCCCCCTTCACTTCGTTTTGTGGTGGCTGAACGAGCTGTTGGAGGGCCTTGTGCGCCTTTTACGCATTTTTGCGCACCAATGACGCAGATCCCAGCAGGCACCCTGGTTTCTAACTTGCAACCTGCCTCTGAACCACCATCAGAGATGGAAACTTTGTTTTCGGACATGGCAGATCTTTCTTGTTAACTCCACATTAGCTGTTAAGAATAGAACTTTCTCTGTGTTTGAAGATAGTTCTGGAGGTTAGAATTTAAGCTTATGCTTCATCCTGCTCCTTTTTGAAATATGATGCATGTTTAGGAAGCATTCTATGTAAATATTTTAAAATCATATCATGTTTCCAAATAAACGAAATGAATGAATGAATGAATGAATTTAAAAATGCAACCAACTCGTAGCAAAACAATCTGTTTTTATACAATAATGGCCACGTTGGAGCTGTGATAATACATAACTGGCTATTTAATAGTATTTGAATTTTTCTTTAGGTATGGTTTCAAAACAGAAGAGCGAGGAGCATCAAAACCGGAAGGCTTTCCAAAGCCAGCAATCCTGTGATGGGGGGCCGGGGCTTTGTGGAGCTCTCCGCTGACCCGGGATCCTCCTCGTTCACGCCAACGAGCGCGCTGGCGGAGATCCTGAGGCAGGATCAGAACACCTTTTTCGAGGACTACTCGGAGTGGATCAAAATTTACAGCAAGCCGGCGGCGTCCCCGCCGGCGTCCTCCTCCTCGTGCCTCCACCAGCCGCCCGGCCGCGGCTGCTCCAGACCCCCGGAGGCCCTCCTCTGGGAGGAGGACCCCCACAGGGGGCAGCATTTGGGGCCCTCCTTCGCGGGTTTCATCGCCGGCCCGTTTCCCCCGGCCGCCAGCAAGCAGGCTCCCCGCCCGGCCTCCGCCTGCTCCTACCAGGCCTTCGCCGGTTCCAAGCCCCAGCACCTGGCCCCGCCCGCCGGCCACCAGGCCGCCGCGTACGAGGGCGGGGCCTCGATGGAGCAGGTCCATTCCTACCCCCAGTCCGTGTACTGGGAGGTCACCCAGGGCCAGGGCCACCATCACCGCCACCACCACCACCATCACAGTCAACACCCGCAGATGGGACCCCAGACCTCCATGGGATACATCTCCGATCTGATCTACAACGCGGCTATCGTCACGAACTTTATAGAGTTCTGAGAACTATAAAAGAGGAAGATGGGCAGCGACAAGAATTTAGGCTGAAAGCTGTTTCCTGTCTCACTCTTTCTGACAAAATCGTCTCTTTGTGTTTCCAGAGCCAAATATATCCCAGACAAGTTTCATTTTTATTTTACTTAATTAGTTGTGTTTGTTCTTCCCTTGCCAGTGTTTTTATATTGTATTTTATTTTGTGTATTTGTGAATAAATCATAGATATTAAACCCCAGTTCTGAGTATACTGTTTGTGAAACCATGTGTAGTTATCTCTTGAGTTGAGTTTAAAACACACATGAATGATTGTTAGAATAAAGATACTCAGTGATGAGTCCATTCTGAGGTGTTTCATCAATACAGTGATGGAGATTTGAAGCATTTGTCTGTACCACGCTGAGGGGAACAGCTAACACTTCATTTCATGCCGTTTTCTCAACCAAAAACTCACCTCCACCGTGTGGGAGACGAGTCGTAGAAGACAGAATGTCTCCCCAGAGGCCAGCTTGTGTTTTCCAGCCCAAAGATGATCCTTGGCTTGTTTAATGCCACAACCCGAGTATTATCTTTCAAAACATCCCGATTAGAATGATTGCTTGTAGCAAGATACTATGGGAGGAATAATTACTTTCTGAGTCAAAATATTTTTTTTCTCTCTGTACTGTTAGTAGCAGGATATCTGGATGGACAGATAGAACGAAAAAGAAAGAAAAATAAGAACCAAATTAAAACTAGAGCTCAGGATCTATCAGCTTACAGCCTCTGTAATTCAGCCCGGATTTAACTTCTAAAATATTACGAGTGCTATAATACAGAGGCAGATATAACAAACAGCGGCCACTGTGCGTCCACTGGACAGAGATCTCAGCATATCAGAATCATTTTAATACAAAATAATCTTTCCATAAACCTTTAATCCGGGTGTCAAATCTCAGATCTTAGGAAGATACTTTTTTTGTGGATGCCAGATGTAGTTAGATGTTTTTAATCCATTCAGTAATAAAACAGGACTTAACAAGTGCAGGGCAGTGTGATATACAGAAGCATAAATTGATATCTGAAAAAGGGATCAGTGAAAAGGGATATTGTGTGCTGTATGCGATCAGTTTAGAAAGACATGGTGTTACTGTTCAGAGCCAGAAAATCACATTAATCGTTTGTTTTTCACTGTCGGCTTGCCCAGTAAGTCTTCAGATCAGAAACAATATAGCAATAAACAGACCAGAAAACACACATCAAATGAAAACACATCAGTAAACAGCAACAGAGGCTTTGGTTTAAAAAAAAATGGAGGAAGCAGATGCTCTTAAATGAGTTATTTGTGTTCGAAAATCAGTCTTAAAATGAGCCCGGTCCATCCTCAGATGATGAGCAGCATGTGCCGTGCTGTGGCTCGTAGTTACATCTAATTTGGTTTAAAAAAACTGTCAAAATAAAAGATCTGAATGATTCATGACTGAAACATTTCTTCTATAACACTATGTGTGAGGTGTGTGGAATAAAATGTCAGCGTCCACCTGAATAGCCATATTTTTCTACCAGATTATTCCAAATAATATCACAATGTCAGATAATACCATCTATTTGACCTCATAGTTTAAAGATGCTGATGGTGAACATTAGGACTAAGATAATAGACATTCTGTGGGAAGGGAGACACAATTATGAAGCATTAACTCTGACTTTCATGGAACTCATTCAGCATTAATCACATTTATTAAACATGACTATATCTTACAATAGAATGGCAGTGTCAGGGCATTCTGTTTAGACAAAAACAGGGGTGTGTTTTTTAGAAAAGAAATGACAAAAATAACAGGAAATAAATACAAAAACATCTGTTGTCAGAAAGAAAAATAGGGAAAACTGCCAATCTCTCTCGGAAAACGCGCCATCAAAGTTCATTTCACTCAGAATCACAAATATTTTACAAAAAGAAATTTAATTAAGAAAAAAAAAGAAATAATATTTTTAATTAAGAGGCGCTATGGCTCGCCCAGATCTCCCTCCATGGTCCGAACCAGAACGTACAGCTCAGCAAGCCCGACCACGGAGGCAGCGATCACAGCCAAGATGACCCGCTGGAAAACACACAGCACAAACATTAGCTCAGGATACGCTTAGTAAGACACAAATTCTCAAGTTATCAAAAAAAGGATCCGCTTTTCATACATACAAGTACTCTGAATGGTACAGAAATGTAATGATAACAGTCTAAAACCCTTGTTTTGAGATTTTTAGCCCAGCTTTCACAACACGGACGATGACTGTGGGCGGTCTGGGCTCACAGTCACCGTCCTTTTGTATGAAAGTTGAAAGTTATGAGTTGAGTAAATGTCTCAAATTCCAGCTAAACATCCAAATTGTTTGTTATTTTCTGAGGAACTCAGATTGAGAGGAGCTAAAGCCAAAAAGAGCAGGTGAGGAAACAAGGAAGGGGAACCCAGAGAGGAAAAAAGAACTAACACATCCGCTCAGACTGCTCAGGAAATGGGGAAGAAATAGATTAAATAATGGAGAGAGCTCATGACTCCTGATGCTTCCAGCATTCAGCATTCACAAAGTTTCCTTCCAAACCAGGAAACCAAAACTGGAAGCTGCTTGTATCATGTATAGAATAATGCTCAGAGAGACAACGGTCTGAAGCTTAAACTGCATGATGGCGATTGGTCAGATGAGCTGTGATGGACCGACCAGATGTGTGGACACAGCTGGACTGAAAACCTCTGAAAGCGAAGATAAAATTGCTGCGCAGATTGAACAATACAACGAAGGTTTCCTTACCGCCGCGGTCTCAGCGAACAGGTACTGACTGCCCATGTAGGAACAGGCAAAAGCAGCCACCACCGTCACCAGGAAGTTGAAAACGGTCACCACCACTGCTTTGACAGAGCGCACTGTACAAAAAAACAAAACAAGGAAAAGCGGTTTCAAATTCAAATCCATTGTCGGATGTCCAGCGGCACATCCAGTACAAGTGAAGTACACTCACCTTGCTGTCCAAAATCTGCTAATGTTCCATTTCTGTTGATTTCCTACAAACAGAATAATTTTATGATATGTATACAATACGAGATGGATACAATATGGATACCACACCTGCTGCCAACCCCAAATAATGATTAGAATCAAATCAAACTTACGTTAAATCTTATTCAGTTCGTGAAATCTAGCCTGTTGACTCTCTTGAGAAGCTTCGCTATTAATATCTGAAGATGTACCTGAGTGTTGACGTTACGGGTCATCCTGTTGTATTCCTCATTGGCAAGTTTCGCTTTGATTTTCTTAAGGCGCGCCACCAACACAGGGTTCTAAAAAAAGAGGAAACGTTTGAGTTGGGCTGTTTTCTTTCATCAGGAATTGGCCACATGTGGGTTATATCTCTAGCTGCATGTGTCAGATGCATTCTATTGGCACAGGCTGGAGAAATGGGACTTTCTGACAGGAGCTGGAAACAGAATACTGATTGAGAGGAGGAGTTGTAGTGCTTCTTAACAACTGGAACAGTCCTTGAAGTTAAAAATCGCTTTGGATAAAAGTATCTGGTTAATGAATACACATACATTTTTACAGAGATTTTCCTTCCTTACCTGTCTTGTTTTATTTGTGTAATGTTATGGTACTTCATGCTTTATCATCTCTCATAAAATCAAACTATATGTATGACAGTTCTTACCCGGGGAGGCCTCACAACCTCAGGCAGGTGCAGATGGCTGTCCCCCAGACATTCGTGTAGATAGAAAGGATGCCCTGCAGAAATAAAGCCCAAAACAGAGTTTCAGAAACACAGCAACAATGCTTATTGCTTGTATGCCTTTGGTAAAAAATCTAAAGCTTTTGATGGCAGTTTGGCAGTTTATCTTTTATACATTTCTAATGGTAAGCCAGAAGTCTTTTAATGAAAGTATATGCATGCCTTTAGTAAAAGTCATTAAGACTAAATAAACTATTCTACACAATCTAGTTTAGCATAATTAAAGTGGAGGAGATTCACTGTTAAAGACACATCTAACGTTTTCACTCATATAATGTGGTAAGATTATTTTCTCCGTGTTGCAGAGCTATGAGTACAGAATTTTGAATGAATTGTATTAACAATTGACAATGATTTTTCACTAAATATTCGATATGATGCATCACATTGTATAAATGCAGGGGAGCTTCAAGATTTATCTTATTACACGTTGGTTATATAATAGCAAACTTAGACATGATGTTTTTATTCAGGAAATGGAAATACTGGCGCATTTAGACCACACATTGCTCCTAAAAGCCTTTTCACCTGCGTCCTCAAGGTGTTTCTTCAGTTTTCTCGCGGTGCTGAAAGACAGAATCGTTGGATGGGATTTTTCCAAAAGTTGCTCCAGCTCGTCCCTCAGCGTTTGAGGCAGACGCGAGTTTTTGTTGTCCAGCAACTCTGACACTTTCTTTCTAAATGTATCCCCAACAACAAATGAAGATGCCATGACTGGGACTCCAGCTAACACCGACCGAATATTACTGAGAAATAATGCCTTCCAAATCCAGTCTTCTGTCCAGACCGCCCTTAGACAGGGAATACTTAGGTTTTTTTTTCTTATTTTTCTACTGTACACACCAAATTTCACGTCAAAACTGTATATCTTAAATAAATAAATATGTCCGATTAACGAAAACAAATCCGACCGTGTAAGCAGCCATATTGTTAGTCTTATGACGAATGACGCTGTCCACGTGACCCGGTCGGAAGGCTTTTTCATTAAAGTTTTACAGATTTTTTTTTTAACTTGAAAATTCTGAAATTAATCATTTCAATTCTTTATTATTAAAAAAAATGTAAGACCAAAAAATATATATATCAATACCTCTCCATACATTGTATTACTATTGTCCGCTTTTCATTAAAGGTTTACGTAATGTTACATAATAAGAAACAACAAAATATTTGCCATAATCAGCCAGTCTTTGTATAATGAAAATGTGTGTTTGTGGCGGAAACAACGAGAAAAATGCGTGTAAAAATCGGTATGATGGTCATGTTATTACCCAACTAACATTGTCACTCCTTTACCAACGCCCCCTGAACGCAGCGTCAGTACCCATCTGTACGACGCCTTCATGCATTTCCGGCGGTACTTCTAGCTGCCACCGGAAGTGTCATGTTTGGTAGCAACTGCCACGAATTGAGCTTGCTGTCTCCATGCGTGTGTGAGAACGTGAGTAGCAGTGAATGTAGGAAAGATGGCGGCCTGTGCATTACGTCGGGGCTTGCTGAGCAGTGTCAGTAAATACAACAGGAAACATACACAGAGGGTACTGAGTGTCGCCGACGCCAGCTGCGGATTCGAGGCGTTCAAACCACGGTTACAATGCCGAAGTTGTGGACTGCTAGGTAGTGTTCCGCCAAGGAGGTTCATGTCGTCACGGTAAGCGACGCATTCAATGTCCTCTTTTAGCTAGCTCGCTAAAGACTTTAGCTAAGTACTCGTTAATCGAGATGGCACCACAACATAAGACTCCAGACATTCTGGTGTCACATTGCGCCTGCATTATGAGTTTGGTATTTTATGACAGCAGATATTCGCCGTACATTATGACAAAATCGGTATTGTCCTACGCCTTTCATTAGCTCCTAAGCTCACTAACGGCATGGGTTGAGCAACAACTTTCCAACGTCTGTTCTGGCTGCCCCCAGCCTGCTAAGTCACAGTGTTAGATAACGTCAAGTATGAATACACAGCGCAGTGGTCATTTTTAGGAGATTTTAACAAAGGCTAACACTTAGGATAACGTTTTTTACGACGAATTCCAAGATTTCCTATTGTTAATTGGGACACTGAAGTACTTGAGTTCGTACAAGATTATATGTCGTCGTGTAACACTTCCAATATTTAATGTTGTATTTGTTGGCTTTTATAATTGCGCAGTTTTTTCATGGGAAGAAACTAAAGTTGAACTTTGTGTTCCAATCCGTGCCCGTGGTCAAAAGGAGCCCTTTCACAGGGAGGGTTGTCAGTTGTCCTTCAGGTGGCTTTGAGTTGGAATGTTTTTTGTTTTTTTTATCAGTAGTACGCAGAGGCCTAATTGCAATTTTGTGTGGGGGATTTTTTTTTTTTTAATTAAGCAAAGTTGTCCTGTGAAATCCCATCTGTAGCCTAATTCAGTTAAAGCTGCTCTGTGAGGTCCTTACATGTGTTTTGGGGATTTATTTGGTTTGTTTTGGCATCATCTCTATAATATCCAGCAAACACACCTAATTCCTTGTTTGATCGCTATAACAGGGATTCAGAGCAAGTTTTTGCTTTTGACTGTGGAACATTATCACAGATTGTTATGCAACTAGAGGGGAAATAGCAAAGGTAACTTGCAGAATGACTATTCAGTTGGCAGTCAATTGCTTTAGACACAGAAAAATGCACAATATGAGATGGGGAAATGTCCACATGTAAGCCCAGCAGAACAAGTCTATGACATTTCTGGTCCGTGAGTTGTTTGAGACTCTATATAACATGAATCTGCAGTGTAGGATGAAGCTGATGTTACATGAGGTTTGTGCTGAAATTACCCTGGAAGGAAACAGGACCAATATTCAAGAGGTTTTGTTTATCCCAGAGGGAATTGATGTGCAACAGTTCCAAGTTACAATGTAATATAACAAAATAACAATGTGATAACCAAATGAAATATGGTATCATAGATATGCTAAAAGGAGAAATGCATGTATATACCATGTAGTGTCAATACTATTATTTTAGTGCTCGTAGTGTGGTTGTCAATAAGCCAAACATTGTTAATAAAAAGGTAAAAATATAGCAGATGCACTCTTATGTAAGTATGAACACATAAATGAGGCTGCTTACGCCATATACCAGTTTAGATAAATAAATAACCAAGAGTAACAGCTCATGTAAAAAGAGTTACACAGTTCCATAATAAGGCAGGAATTGTAGTCGGATTGCTACAGGTCGGAATGATTTCCTGTTGCGCCCTGTGATACATTTCTGTGGAATCAGTCCCTAACTGAATTTGCTACCGTTGGACCACACCTCCCAGAAGCCTCCTCCCTCCTCCAGATGTGTTTAAGAAATGAAGACATCTCTCGTGATATTTCAGACAGAGACGGAGCTGGAAAGGAGGAATAACAGAGCTACCTAACAACAGACGCTGGAATCCTGGAGAACATCAGCAGTGCTACCTCTGTCTGTGACATGACCAGCTAAAAAAACAACAAGCTTTCATATGTTTACCTGCTAGCAGGAACAGAGTAGCTCTGAAAAAATAGTCTCTGTGGGAGACTAGCGGATGGGTGAGGGAGTGGTTGGAATACATGCCATGAATCAGCACTGTCTTCCTCCAAACTTTGTCCGTGCAACCCTGAAATAGTATAATCGTTCATCCCGTCTCACTGCTGTCTTTACGTGCCCTCTTTTCCTCCCGGACCCAATGAACCTGACTCAGCCGGTGGCTCAGGCTCCACATTTTGCTGTGGCTTTGCTAAATTTAGACCTGCAATCACCTCAGTCCGAAAGCTGTTGACATTTTTAAGACAATGTTAGCAGCAGGGGACCAGAGAAATGTCGCAATTTGACATTTTTCCCACCAGTGCCGACTCAGCCCTACACGGTTCGTAGAGGTGGTTTTCCACTCCAAATTACGGGCCGACCGCCACACAAGCAGGAGACCACAATCAAAGACATGGCGGCAACTATAAACCGACCAAACCTCGGTGGTGGACTGCGCTGTCGGTTCACGAATTAGGCATTTTATAGTGTTTATGGTCACATAAATAATAAGGATCTAGTCATGTGACTCTCTGGCCAGTCGGTTCCCAGCAGTCTGCCGTCGGACCTGCTCAGTGCGGATGGCAGCCCGGCCGAGTAGGGGCCAGAAATGTGACCGTTTGTGGGTCCAGACCCGAGTGGAAATGCAAAATACCAGGCAGAGCTGTGCCATTCGAAAAAAGCAACTGGTGGAAATGGGCCAAATTCTACCTGTTAGGGTCATGTTTGCCGTTCTGCGAGCCTCTTCACATCTGCATTTTCTTATCATTCACTAAGGATTGGGATGTGGTCAGAACATGGCTGTCCAACAGCAGTAAAGGACACTTTAGGCTGACATACAGCTGACGTCTCTCGTGGTGAGCTGATGGAGTTTAGTATCAGAAAACATTCCTGACTTTAAATCAGGCATTTAGTCAGACTCTAACACTCTGATTTGCATTAAACCCACAAAAAAACCTGAGTCCATCCTGCAGAGTCGTGCGAAATCCCCATCTCCATAGATCCACGTCATAAATCCCCACTCCTCATCTTTGCAGTGAAGATTAGCTGCCGGGTGGGGGGGGGTTATTGATTTGAAGTGACCAGCTGTTGGTGGCTGTGGTGAAGAACATTAAATATTTGTTGTTATGGTGATGGCAGAGATGGAAAAATGAAACCCAGTGGCATTTCTGACCTCTGACACGTGGAGGTGTTTAATTCAGCTGTGGCGAAATCGTAACTCAGATTAATAGCGATTTCCCTCCCCTATGGATCTGCCGTCTACACCCTGCTGTCTGTCGGGGTCCTGTCACGTCCTGTTTTCTGATGGCTAACCCTGACGCCCGCCGTCCAGTGTGTAATGGTGTTGCCCGTATTTGGCAGGAACAGGCCCGAAGGGAAGATTCTGGAGACCGTTGGCGTGTTTGAGGCTGTGAAGCAGCATGGGAAATATGAAACGGGACAGGTAAGAATCAGAAACTCAAGAGGTCCCTCTGTTCCTCTCTTCCTCATAAAAAAAATGTTAACACTGTCTTAAGCTGCCTTAAGCTGTTTTTCACTTGTGATCGGTGTGTTCCTAAGCGTGATCCTGCTGAGTAACTGTAATCCCATCAGGCTACTGTTGTATTAAACATCCTTCATATACAATCTCAAACCTAATCTGTCCATGTCCCCCCCCCCCCGTGTTTGTGCTCCCCGAAGCTGTTTCTCCACAGTGTGTTTGGCTACAGAGGCATAGTCTTGTTCCCGTGGCACGCCCGCCTCTATGACCGAGACATCACCCCCCCCATGACCGACAGGTGAGCCTTCATTCCCCCACGAGACTCGCCGGGAGCTTATTGCAATGGCTGGGCCTGTCAAACTGAGTCTGTGTTCCTCTCCAGTAAACCCGAGCCCCCCCCGGGAGCCCACGGCTCCAAAGAAGTGAAGGGGAAGACTCACACCTACTACCAAGTCCTCATCGACACCAGAGACTGTCCCCACATAGTAAGTCAGATACTCACTCACGGACAATGGCATCTGGCCTCAGCGGTAAAAATGGTCAGTAATGGCTAGAGCCGAGCCCCACTGAGGGGGTACTCGTGGAACAGAGCAGAAATGGCCTCAGTACACCCCCGTTACCTGGATGTGTTCGTCCAGTTCGGAAAGGTTCCATTTCCTTCCATTTCAGTCAAACTTAACAGGTGCCCAAGCAGTTTAAAGCTTGGTTTTCTTTGGACGTGATGGGTTTAAAGAGCACGGTGTCAGGCCTCAACCATGCGACTGAGTTTTCCGTGTCTTCAACAGTCTCAGAGATCTCAGACCGAAGCGGTGACCTTCCTGGCCAACCACGACGACAGCAGAGCTCTCTACGCCATCCCAGGTACCGCCTCCCAACGCTTCTCCCCCTCTGATAATAGGAATGCAGATGAGAAGTCTGTCCAAGTTTAAATGCCCTTTTTAGTGCTCATTTACTCATTTTTGAAAGAGTTTTTCGAGAGTTTCTTCATCAAAAGTCAAACTCCAGACAGAGAAACTGGTCTATGCCATCTTCTCTTATATATATTTGACCGTGTTTATCCCCCCTTTTTTCCCCAGGGCTGGACTATGTGAGCCATGAGGACATCCTGCCCTACAACTCTACAGAGCAGGTCCCAATCCAGCACGAGCTGTTCGAGCGCTTCCTCATGTTCAACCCGACAAAATGTAAGCGCGCCATATTCCACTCAGACCCTCTGACGATTTTACATTTGAATGAATATTTTTTAGATTTCTACAAAGTAAATACTGATTATTCAGCAAAGTGTTAAATATGTCTGACTTTCCAACGGTTTGCAGAGTTACTACATTAGGAGTACAATCCTTTTAAGATTAAGATTTATTTTCTAAATCATCTGGCCCAGCCCCTGAATCATGGAACAGAAACCCTTTCTAGCTTCACAAATTATGGTTTTTGACGACAAAAACCAAACCCTTCAGATGGTTCGAAGCCTCACCTACTATATTAGGCGTTTGACTTCAGTCATTTTGCACGCTTTAGTCTTTGTCCACTGTCACTAACGCCGGGCGGCCTCTGTTCCCGCAGCTCCTCCCTTCACCGCCAGGGACACCCTGAAGGCGTGGCAGGAGAAGAACCACCCCTGGCTGGAGCTGTCCGACGTGCACAGGGAGACCACGGAGAGCATCCGCGTCACCGTCATCCCCTTCTACATGGGCATGCGGGTAGGGCTCCGTGTCTCCTCCCGGCCGGCTAACGGGAGCTTCTAGCCTCCGTGCGGCTCTAACTAAGGTCTGTTTTTGTTCACAGGAGGCCCAGAACTCCCACGTTTACTGGGTGAGTATCCCCACGGTGGGGACGGAGGGAACGGAGGGGGAACGGCGAGCGGAGCTTACCTCTCTGTATGAGTGGAGCTAACTTCTCTGTATGAGTGGAGCTAACTT